CCTTAAGGCTGGTATACACGGTAAGGAAATCCTTTGAGGATTAACCGTGATTTTTTTTTCTATCTATCCATTTTTAAATAAAAATAATTCTTTATACGCTGGGAGATATTTTAATAAGTTTTGTAAATTACTATGTTCGATCCAGCCAGTTATATCCGAGTTTTTTTCGTCTGTTAAGCACATCCTTTGAGGATTTCCTTACCGTGTATACCAGCCTTTAGTGTGCATTGCCATGGTGTACCCTACTAAAACACAGATAAAAACAAAAAATCGCATCTAAAATAGTACAGTAGAAGCCGTTTTTCCGGTTAACCCTTAATGCTCTCCCTCTTCCCCCCACTTGGGAATTTCGAAAAATCCCTTCTTAGTGTGCGTTTTCATGACGTACCTTAACTATGTACCAAATTTCACTTCTCTAGGTCCAGCGGTTTGCTCTGGGCGATGATGAATCAGTGAGTGAATGAGTCATTCAGTCAGTCAGGACAAGCAATTTTATATATTTAGATTTNCTTCTTAGTGTGCGTTTTCATGACGTACCTTAACTATGTACCAAATTTCACTTCTCTAGGTCCAGCGGTTTGCTCTGGGCGATGATGAATCAGTGAGTGAATGAGTCATTCAGTCAGTCAGGACAAGCAATTTTATATATTTAGATTTAATAATATTACATATCATAAAATAAGCTAATTAAAATGTATATTATCCATGAAAAAATTCAAGATATACTGTTGATCTGGTAAAGTAATTTGTCAATTTTGTATACCCAGAATAGTAAGCTATAGCCATGACATTGTTGTATCAGTTTCGTACTTAAATGTATCATTAAGCTGCTTATAATTATGATGATATTTTAAATTTACTTATTTAATATAGAATCATTTTATGTTGATTTAATTTTGATTAATATTGGTGTTTTGTTTTAATTTTGACTAATATTGGTGTTTTGTTTTAATTGTTTTTTGTTTATGTAGAATTGTTACTATTTGGGCAAGTGTTTGTGATATCTGCATACGAATGTATATTTAACATATATGAGGGAAAAAATTAGTAACATAACTTCATATGTGCTTAATTTAATTAATTTTGACTGTACATTCTTTTTATTCACAAGTTTCCATAACATGTTTTTGAATTCTGCCAAGGGCATATGTTGTGGCAGTCATTAAGATACTGCTAGTTGTTAGTGTAGGTGTGCAATTTTTAGTTTTTCATTGGTAACATGCCTTATAAAACTAGTTCAGGTAGATTTTGTGCAATGGTTGGATATCATAATAGCCAGAAAGTTTTTTATAAGTTGTTTGAAGCTATATTGAGATTGTTCATGTATTAAATTGTTCCAGTCACATTTATTTACACATGAAAATTTAAGAAGAGAATGGGTAACCAGCTAATGCATGAACATCAAGCTAGATAAATAACTGCCATTATTAGATGCACAAGTCCATACAGAATGATTATTTGTAGAGCCATCACAAACCCTATCTGCATTTGTCTTTGGGACACAAATGCTTTGTGACAATTTATTAATTGTGAGGCCGGGAAAACACCCCCAGACGGGAATTGGCTGTCGAGCTAAAGTCAATAAATCGGTGACTTATTACATAAATTGGATCGGTGTGACCAAGGAACGGGGTGCAAGACGATTTAATTGTCGCATTCCAGACCTAATCGACACATCCACGATTGTAAATTGTGAGAATGAGACAGGGATCATCTGCTGGGGTAATTTTGGATGGTCACCTTACAGAGAGTTCAAAGCAGGACCTACTGACACTCCTGTGGAGGGGGCGGCAGCTGGGACAGCTGTGTCTTCTTCAGGACAGAAAAATACACATTAGGTAAAACTTACGGGTCCATCATCCAGGAAAGGGCTTGACCTGACTCCGGAGGGGAATGGCCCAGATGGGGATGTTCAGGCCCTAATTGCGTCCCTGACAACAGACCAAGGGATCAATGGAATCACAGGGGACCATCATTTGGACCAACCAAAACTTCAGGATTTTGGGAAAAAAAGGTTATAAAAGCCTGAAATCCCAAGGACACGAGGAGGTTGTGAGTGGGAGATCAAGAATGACGATTTCAGAGAATAGATCCGGATTAACCCAGAGAACCAGAAATTACCCAAGAAGTGAACGGACGGGACTAAGACTCGACTTTCCAATGCCAATTTTCCCATCCCTTCAACCTCCAAGCCTCTACCTCTCTCCTTTTTATCTGTGCCAATCTATATCATTGGAAAACGGACTATCCAGCGAGCTCCTCTTCAGTGACGGACACCTTTTGACCAGACGTTTGTGTAACTCATTTTCCATACAAATAAACATGTTGAGTTGGTAAATACAGTCTCTGTGTGAGTCATCTTTGCATCCAGCAAACTACTACCCCCATACTGAAAAGGCTTTCTCGCATCATCCTGACAGATCGTGGGAAAAGCGAGGGTCGTAACCTTTAACTGAAAGGTCAATTCCACAAGGGTGTTGTCTGGGCTACTACCACACCTCACAAATTAAAATTTTACCTACTATTTGAAAAATAATTGTAAGAGTCAAGACTTTAGTTATTTTTTAGAAACAAAAAAATAAAATAAAATAGGAATTTAGGTGAGTGTTATGAATAAATTTCTATTAGTTATTTCAAAATCAATTATTATCTCAATTCTATAGTTCTGCAGTTACCTAGATCTTGCAGTATTTTAATGGCAGTGCGACAGTGGTACTATAAAACAGGAAAGTACACAAACCTTTTCAGGAAACTTGTGGATAACTTTACAGTATTCAATTATTTTACCAAAAATCAAAATTCCTAGCAAAAATAAATTATTTTTGTTAGGAATTTTATATATTATTGTAAATTTTAAAATTTTTAGTTTTAAAATAAATTCAGAGTAATTTAAATCATGTATAAATAATAAATTTAAATTTGTAAAATGTGAAAAGTAAAATATAAAATAAGTATTTAATATTTTTAAAATTTAGAAGTTCTAGTACATATAAATTTTGTTTATAATTTAGAAAGGAACCAGTAGATGAAGTTTCCTGTGCTTATAATCAGGTAAGTATTTATTATATTAAAAATATATATGTTACCGCTAAAGCTCAAAATCCGTTAATGTGCACATTACGTAGCTAATCTCCAGATTAACTAGGGTGATACGTTAAAGCTGCAAAAATTATTCCGTTTCTCAAATTACCTAGGTAATGTACAGAGTTTCTAGATAATATGCACATTACCTACTAGGCACTCGGTAAAGTGAAAATAAGATCTTTTCTTATTTATTGTATAATTATTAAGCCCATAACTCGGGCATAGGCTTTAAAATCCTCAAAAAAGGGCCTGGACTTATAACTTTTTCAAAAATGTATGGATCAGCATATATACTTCGTTATCTATGATCTCTGCAAATTTCATGAATTATTTTTTCGCCGCGAAAATATTTTATTACAATTTATTAATTAGGTAATTAATTGAGCTATTGTTTTTTATGGGAGTTTTTTTATGAAATTACTTAAATCGTTCCAAACTTCTATTTGACAGATTTGACTTCAGTAAAATTTTTTAAAACGCTATTAGATGTTTTTTGAGACATCAGCAGGTTTTTTTTGTTTTTTGTTCAGTAGATTTTTCCCCATACCTTTTTTTTAATAGCATAAAAATCGACAATATTGTGTTATATTTGAACAATGCAGTAAGTTAGTTTTCCTCCTTCTTTAAACCAATATTTCCCTGAAGCGTAATGTACATGAGAATTTCCCGGAAAGCTGATACCAGTCGTTCTCAGTTTGTAAACAATGTAGACTGCACGTGTGAAATTTCACACCTTGTTAAATGAAAGAATAACAATCCTTACAGCTATATTTTTGAAATAAAAGCATTTATTTTAAATTAATTAAATTTTTTTTATATACTTTTTTTGTAAAAACAATTTTGGACGGGTTTTTATTTCGCGGGAATTATTTCCCGGCAATTCTTTTGGATGTCAGATTCGCGTTTAAATGAAAATAATTATTTCAGATAAAAAATAAATTTTTTGTGGATTTCTGAGTGGCATTCGGATCGAAACAAATGTACAGAATGAGTTAATTTTGTTATGGTTGTTTACTTAATTTTATTTCAACATATGTTCTAATATAATTTAAATTTGAACGTGTTCGAAAAGCCATTGATTTGAACGTCTTTAACCTGATGATGGTCCGTGGAATGGGTTGAAAATGTTTGTTTAGCTGAATAAATGTGCTTTCTCAGTATTAAGGTGTGCTGACTTTATATTGTTAAAGAATCTGAGTGTGAATAAGAGAAAATAAGATCTTTGCTGGAACAACAGCAACGTTTCTGTATGCTTAAATTAACATAATGTTGTTTATTTAATTTTCAAGTTAGTACAAAGAATCAAGTTAATACAATCAAACAATCAACAAATTAGTTGATAGAACCAATCATCAATCAATTAAAAAAACTGTAATACAAAACTCAAACGGTTTAAGATATTATTACAATTAGGGAAATGAATTTGCAAAACGTGATAAAATTGTGTTTACTTATTAGTGCAATCTAAAGATTGATGACACTTTGAATTACATAGCAATTGGTTTTTGCGACAAGCACCTATTTGTGGTACATTTAGATTTGCAGTCGCATTTTCTGAAACCCTGCCCAGTACCAAGGGATTTTTTTATTGCTGTTTGACGTAAATATATTTCTACAGCAGGGACATCCATCTTCTTTCGTTAAAAATCTCTCTTTGCAAACACTGAATTCAGATTTTGCATACAATTGTTTTAAAATACTCGTTTTAGTACCAAGTTTATAAAAGCCATCCTCTGTTTTACTAAGAACCACAGCTAAAATCGAGCGTGGATCAGTTTTTGCTCTGTCTTCTTCAGGTACTTTAATTCTCACAGTGACACCATCGTCATTTGGGTGCTTTGCATTAGAAACTGCTAACATTTTCTTTGCTTGCTTTTCTAAACATTTCTTGGCTTCATCACGCTGTATTTTCTGATCCATATTCTTTTTACAGATGTTGCACAATACATTCTTACCATATCCTTCCTCTTTAGAATCTACTTCACCACAAACTGCGTGAACAAACATATTACACGATTTACACTTGTGAGCACTTGATGCTGCTTTTGAGCAAACAATACAGACTGTCTTGTATAGTGCTCTTTACAGTCTGTACAAAACTGTGATGGTGATTCTGCTGAAGTTGAGGGTAACTCACTGATGACTTCTTGAACTTGCAGAGGTGATTCCTTGGAGGTACTGGGTAACTGAATATTCTTCATAACTGAATATTCCTCAATCAACGGTGAAGAAGGCAGTTTAAGATTACTATCGATAAATTCTTGTATTTCTATAGGTGATTCTGTAGAAGCAGGGGATAATGGAATGTCATCTTGAGTAAGACTTGACTGTGATCCCATAATAACAGTCTCTTGTGAATCTTCTAATTTTTCAAGGTCTTCTTCAGTATTTATCAAATGTAATACACTGTGGTATAATAAAAGAAGACAATCCCACTTTTGCGGGACAACCGAACATGGCTTCGTATGGACTTCTTTTAATTGCAGAATGATAGGCACGATTCTTCATGAATTGTACAAATCGTAAATCACTCCACTTGTTAGTTTGGTTATCAGTCATCCAAGTAGTTAGCATGTTATCAATGTCTTGATTCGCTCGTTCTACACTTCCTTGACTTTGGCTATGTCTAGGTTTGCCATTAACCATTTTGATTCCTGGCCACAACTGTGCTACACATTCTAAGATTTTATTACAAAATTCACGTCTGTTATCAGAATGCAAAATACCTGGAATGCCAAAAAGGAGAAAAATATCAAGCAAGTTATAGGCTATTTCATCCGCCTGTTTTGATGTGAGCGGCTTTAATACAACAAATTTTGTTAAGTGATCTTGGTATACGAGAAGAAACTTAAACTTTCCATCTGGTTGAGATTGGTAATCAATGAGATCCACCTGGCATCTGCTATTGAAATGCGATGAAATAATCGGCTTTACAACAAGCCCCTTTTTCGCACTTTTTTGTTTTTGTTGACAAGGTTCGCATAAATCCAAAAACATTTTTATTTGGGCTTGGGTTATGTTTTTATAAAATGTTTTTAATTGCTTGACCATTCTGTCTCTTCCACCGTGTTTTTCAATTGACAAATGAGTCAAATGCAATATGTCAAACAATTCTTCGGCATGGACAAACTTTTTCACACTTTCTCGCGCATCTGACAACAATGCAATGAGTTTTTGACAGCCTTGTACAGTCAACACATCATATCTTTGAATTTTTCGATAATCTCCAGATGATTTTTTCTTCTTTGAAACTTTTATTCGCTTTACGTCTTCAATTATGGAATCATACTTTCCTTTTGTCGTTAAAACACTATTATATTTTGAATCTTCGCTAAAGAAGTTTGCGAAGAATCTTTTCTTCATTTTACTCACCAATTCGGTGTTTGCTTGCATACTAGGAGTTATATTTATCTAATTTTAAAAAAAATCTCGTCACAAATTCACACGCTAACAAGCAGAAACGAATTTGAAAACAGAATTAGCTAAGCGACGCACTGGCAGCCGGTGCAAATTATGAGAAATAAAAACAACTGGCGAAACCAAATTAAAAGTGGAGGGAGAGAGGGAAGGAGTAGGGAAAGGAAATGAGAGAAACAAACTTTTGAACTTTAACGATACAGAAGCAGTTAATGTGCAGATTACCTAGATACTCTCCACATTACTTAGATAATTTGAGAAATGGAACAATTTTTGCAACTTTAACGGATTACCCTAGTTAATCTGCAGATTAGCTAGGTAATGTACACATTAACGGATTTCGAGCTTTAGCAGTAACATATACACCAAACTCCCAATTATCTATGCTAATTATTGTATTGGTGTGTACAGAAAACTGGAAAACATGGATAATCCAAAATGGCCATCTATTCAGAAATTTTAAATGAACAGTAAATATCGGCTTACCATGATATTTTTTTCTCAAACCGGGACAATTTTGAGAAAATAGTCACAACAGAAAATAAAGTCTGCTAGGATAGGTACTTATGATTGAGAAGGCTATGTAAAAAGTTGTTAACAAAAAACAATGAATTAAAAACAATTTTTAACAACTCAACTGAACATACCTTATTATTATGAAATTATTAATATTTTTTACTAGTGTAAACTATCTTTAAAAATTCTTTGTCACTTAAATCAGTACTTCTAAAATATGACAATGTACTGTATTTGAGGAAATTTCTATTGCTACTAGGTTTACCTTATATTTTGCACATTTCAAGTGATTTTTAATGTCAGAATGCCCACGAGTTACTGAAAATTCTGAAAAGCACAGTTCATATTTCACTTTGTCAAGACGATCACAGACTTTTTTCAAAAATGGATAATCCTTTTTTCAATTATCAGTAAATACATGGTTTCTTTTTGGCATTTTGGACGTTAAATCAATTTAATGTACAGTACAAAATAATCGCAAATGCTGACTAGCAATTTGAACTCGATAAGATAGGATATGCGCAACAATGATGGGGACAGTAAGTTTCAGTGTTGCCAACTCTAATTGAAACAAAATATTTTAAAAAATGAAATAAAAATATCTGGATCTCATAGGCTACATGCTATTATAAATTCTGTGAAAAAATATCTGGATGAAAAAGCAAAACATCTAAATACATTAGGCAATCTATATATATAAAAATGAATGTATGTCTGTCTGTTCGTCTGTCTGTCCTTCATGCATTACCACACCGTTTATCCGATTGCCATGAAACTTTGGGAAGTTGTTTAATATACTTCCGCGAAGGTTTTTGGCATAGTACATTTATCCTACGATAGATGGCGCGCGTTTATACGAGCATTCGAGCACTGTATGTTCGATCGATTTCAAATTGTGAAGACCATTTCCCCCCTCCAAAAAATATCTGTATATATGCATTTATTATTTAGGGATATTTGTAATAATTTTTGTTTAATCACTTTATTTCAACTTTGTTTTTGCTAATTATGTAATCGCTCGATTTTGTTAAAACCTTAACTGTATCCCGAACAACAACCGAAGTTGTAGAAGGAAATTCGCCTATTTTACCGATCTAGGGATCCCCCTTTTCCAAATTTTAATATCACCTCAAAATAATTTAAAAAGACAAATTACAATAAAATGGTTTATTATCCAACTATGAGAAATTTCACAACATGCCAAGGAAGAGAGGAAGGATTAAAAAATATATATATATATATATAAATGGGGAATATCGCACTTCTAACAATCTCTGCGAGTGTTTAGGCTAAATTTAAAGAATCCGTGCTTCTCACATGGACAACTGTATGTGGCCAACTCACGTGTCGGAAAACCTTCTGATTTATTCGTGTACGCACCAGACGGAAGAACAAAAAATATTGTGTATCCACAAAGCACTCCAATAAATAAATAAAATTGAAACGACATTTTGAAATGTTTTCCCGATGAAAATGAATAATAATAAGTTTCAATAAAAATGATAAAATGTAAACTTAATTTTATCATAATGAGTTTGCTTGAATTTCGTTTCTTCTGAGATCGCAGCAATGCGCGACGGGTAAGCTAGTATGCTATAAATTTTGAGGAAAACATCTAGATAAATATAACATTAAAATTAAAACATTAAAAGTACTTAGATCTAGATACAAAATATTTAGATTGGAAACAGTGAGTGTAACAGAGGGGATTTAGTTGCCAAAACGTCATTTTACCAAAAGCTGCACTATTTTTACTTTTTGTATATTTGGCAATTTTAAAATTTTAGCAAATAACTGAGACAAAATGACAAACTGGCTGGGACACTGGGACCCTATCATCAAATTGGGACAATCCTGATCAAAACGGGACGTCTGGTAAGCCTAAATATGTAAGCCTAAATATATATATACACTGTACATTTAAAATCAGATTTGAAATGAATAGTTTTTGTAGTTAGATGGCCATTTTATATTATATATATATATATAGAGCAAGCTCAACTATATTATAACNCTGTACATTTAAAATCAGATTTGAAATGAATAGTTTTTGTAGTTAGATGGCCATTTTATATTATATATATATATAGAGCAAGCTCAACTATATTATAACACAATGCAAGTGTGTGTCCCAAATTTCATAATCTCAGATGTAGTAGGATATTTTTTTAAAAAATCTGATGTATATAGTGTACAAGTATGAATATTTTCACATGTTCTATCAAAAAGCTAAATGCTTCTTAAGATACTTTGTCATTTTACAGTAATTCTAATATTTTGATGATGCATGGATAATCAGGAGTTCAGTGTAATTATATTTATATGAAAATATATGAACTGTACCTTGCATATTTTATATAAAGCACTCCATAAACATAATACATATTAGGATCAAAAAGTCTGAGGTCTTGGCCTAAAGTTCTTGCCTTCAATAATTTAAAACACCAACTCTGCACACAACCATCTTCAAACTAATCCACTTGGGTGACAATAAACTTTTTTAGAGCTTATACAGCTTCTGCAAGCATTGCTGTAAGCCATTTTTTCAACCATCCATAATGCCTCCTGTGATGATGCTTTTACCTCATTTGATGACTTGAAACAGTGTCAAAACAATCTCAGGCCTTTTATCATGGATGACTCATGTAAATGCCACATATTTGTATATAAAATGTGGCATTTTGTGAGTCAATCTGTGAGAAATAGCCTGAGGTCATTTTTGACATCGTTTCAAGTTATCAAATGAGATAAAAGCAGCATCACAGGAAGCTTTATGGATGGTTGAAAAGATCACTTACAGCAATGCTTCCAGAAGCTGTATGAACATTGGAAAAATTGTATCACATATATAGATAATTATATCAATTTCTCATTGAATAATTAAGTAGAATTCTCTCTCTCAGAAACAATTTCATAGTACAACAAATATCAAATAGCATACTAGCATATGTAATCTACAGAATTTTATAGGTAGCAATTAATTTACTTTATTTCTCAGTATTAAATTTTAATACTAATTAATAAGACAATCTTATTCTTTCAGCTCATATATATTTAATATAATGACAAATGTTTTAGGGCAGATTCATTGCCCAACTTTAGGTCCATAACTCTGACTTTTTGCATGGGTCTAATTATTTGTCAAGATATGTACCTTGACAAATAATTAGACCCGTGCAAAAACTTGATAATTTTTTAGTTTTCGATAATAATAATGCAATTGTTGATAGCATTATTTAAAATATTTATGTTTATTATGTCTTTTGAAATAAAAATACATTTTTTGCATATAAAAATTGTAATATAATAAAATTTAAAAAATTAAAATTAGTATTTTGTATTACTACCCTTATCAGCTAGTAGTGCTTCTATATGACAAGGAATACTTTTTAAACATTTTTAAAAATTTTTGTTCAATCAATGAGCTTAATAAGAAATTTTAAAGTTGATTTTTCTTACATTTATAGTGTTGCCATATAAAAAAAAATTCATTAGAAGTGATTGTGATGTAAGAGAAAATAAGAATAACCAAAAATATACTCATTCCTTAAACAATATTGCAAAAAGAAGAAAATAGTACAAAAGATACGATTTTACTCAATGGGTCTAATAATTTGGCAAAGTACTATAGTAAGGAATATGGACCTGAAGTTGGGCAGTGAATCTACTCGAAAATGTTTGTCATTATATTAAGTATATTTGCTGGAAGATTAAGAATGTCTTATTAATTCGTGTTGAACATTTCCAGTTAGAATGTTCAGTTTAAGTAGAGTTTTATTTATTTAGATTGTATATATTAATATTTATGAATATTTTTATAATATGATCAGTTAGATGATACTAATTATTTAATACTTATTTATAACTTAATAGAAGTAATATTTTTATATATCGTGTATGCAACATTATATTAAAATTTAAATGATGATGATGATGATCTTTTATATATTTTTAATAAATCTTATCTTATGCAGAAAGAAAAGAAAAAAGAAAGAGCACAGGTTGATCAAACGTTTTTTAGGTAGGAAAGTTTTTAATCTTAACTTTCATATCATTCAATAGAAATAATTTTTTTATAATTATAAAATTTTATGTAAGAAGCAATAATTTTCTTTTTGTAAAAAATTTATGTGACACTTACATACACAAAAGATAAAATATAAAAAATAGTATTAAATTTGGCAAAACAAACTGCTATCTAATTTACTTGATAAAGTCTAGAATTTAATGAAATTTTTAAATATTTTACGTGAAAATAAAATAACTTTTGCTAGTCATCTTTCTATTGAAGTCAGAGAACTCAATAGTTCTAATGAACCAAAGAGCAAAGCCAATGGGAGCATAAGCATCCAATAGGACTACCAATGTAAATAAGATCTATATAACAGTGCTTTCCAAAATTTTTGCACCTTTTAGTGCATATATTTCTATAGTATCCTCCATAAAATCGATCAAAAATGATACATTGAGAAATGAATGTTAATGAAAGGTTTTTTACTTTAAGCAATTACAGTAGAGCATTGATTATCTGAATATCAATCAACCGAAACGTCAATTAACCGAAAGCTTTCCAGTTGGCAAATTTAAATTTCCACTAGTGCTGTGGCGCTGTAATCTTTGGCTATATCTTGGGCTACTCCAATATTATTTTTGTTGATGTGCGTGGTTTAGCTGGCAGCACTAGTATGACCGCGAGAGGGTACTCAAGAACGTGCTAGGATTTGAATGAATTTCAACATGGGATAGGTTAATATATTTTATCGTACATAATCGGTTATCTGAAAATTTGATTTTCCGAACAACCCCAGTTCCCAATTGATTTGGATAATTGATGATCTACTGTATTTTATAAATGGAAAGAATAATTGCCTAAAAGTACTTTACTAAATAATATAAAGTACAGTTGTACATCTCGCAACTGATTTTACAATGCATTTCAGGTGTTGCTCTAAAAATTTTTAAATATTGCCACCATTTCACCAGTTTTAATTTTTTTTTTGCCACTTCAAATTATTTATTGGGAACAGTTTTATTTACTTATTAATGCCAGATGCTGGTAACCTTATCAGGAAGGCAAAACAAGTTAATCTGTCACTTACAAGGAGAGGACCAGACATTTGGGTCTTCAATTCAAATAAAACATGGTGAGCTTGTAGTCTTAAACACAAACTGTTCCTTATCCAAATAATAAGATCCATTTCTGAAGCATTTCCAAAAATTGGTCCTCTAAAAGTTGAGTGTATCACTTACGTCTTTGGGAAGTTCGTGGCTCTGAGTGACAATAGCTATTAGGCAGTGAAACTACATGATGTAGATTCAAATCTTCAGAGTTTTCAGGTTCAGAATTTTAGTTCAGTTTTGTTTTTTTTTTACGTGTAACATAATTATTTTATTATTTTACTATATCATTAGCATTATTATTACTATTATTATTCCNTTCCTTAATTTCGAGAATGAAGTTAAATAGATGAAAGACCAAACCAAATATGGAAACTGTAGGGGGCAGAAGATCCTGATTAACTATCTACGAACTTCCAATGCAAACCGGTAGTCACATTATTTCAATTCAAAGAATTTCCTCTGAAAGGAGTTAGGTAAATCACTGGCACAACTCTATTGTTAAAGGAAAACTGTGTACAGGGGCAAGTCACTACTAATTTGAGATGGTAAGCATATATTTTAAATTAAATAAATTGTCAGAAATGCCAGGCTGCAATTTTTAATGTCACAATAAATAATTGCTTATTACTGTTATTATTTCTCATGTTTTAAAGCTTATAGAACAAGAGATTTAAAATTGTGACATCATTTCCTTTTTAGTGAAAACAAGTCTGTGTAGATTTAATTCTTTTACGTTGTTAAAAAAATTTTTATTCCTTTATATTTATTTTCAGATATAGTGGTATTGTGATATCTGAAGTGCAACAAACACGAGTGCATGAGGAAATTGGCTATAATATTAACAATTAAAAAATGAAACTGCAACTGCACTATATATTTTCATATCACTTGTATTTTCCTCCATATTCAGTAACATCTGAAACTTATTTGCTTGTAAGAACATAGTATGTAATCATAAGCAAAAATATGTGAAAATAAATGCTACATGCTTACCAAGTTTTATTTGAATGGGAAACCTGAACATCTGGCCCTCCTGTTGATAGCAATAGGAATGATTTTTGAATAATTCTGAATAACACATTTGATCACAATGTTTAAACAGTATTTCACATATTGTGTTACGTCAGAATTTTTGTTTTAGTCTACTGAAAAAAGATCAAAATAGAAAAAAGTTACCCCAAAAAATTCCCCAAATTTTCTGTTGATTGATAAAAAAATCTCCAATCTGGAAATGTTGGGCGGCATTGCACAAAAGCTGTCTTTGGTTCTCAATGTCACTTCCTACTTTTCTTTCTGAACTTGCCGCATGACGTGATGAAATCCCTAGGTGCACAGGACTCCCATTGCACAAGAGCTAGACATTCTGCTGTTTTTCCTGAAATGTTTGTAATTCACTTTCACCCTGAATGTTTAAATTAGCAGACTAGGGTTTTTATTGCCAGTATTACATTTCTATCATCACTTTAATTAAAATATTGCCAAGTGGTGATTTTGGCACTATGCAGTGACCCCTGTATTTGTTTGAAGTTCAAAAGTAAAGAACATAGTTGGAACATCTCTGAACCATTTCTGCAACGTGGATTGATGTATAGAAAAGGTAGTGGAGAGTATTAAAGACAAATCATATGTATCCTTGATTTTTGAAAAATTGTGATAGTAAATGAATATGTTGGTGGTATATAAAGAAGTTTTCATGTTTTCATGTTTTTAATTCTTTGAAAATTTATCAACTATAGCCTTAAAGGCTATAGTTGATAAATTTTCAAAGAAATAAAAACCATGGAATGAGTTGTAATTAAAGTAAAAATTGCTAGGTAATCTACATCATATAACCCACACCTACTATCAAATTGACTTTTAAACACAGATAATCCTTGTGTTATTCACAGAATATGATAAATTGAAATATTTATTGTAATACCCAAACTTTAATATTTTCTAAAATTTAAATTTAAATTGTTCTACTTGCAAAGCTGATGTGGAACTAAAGTAATCCAAAAATGTTACTTCCAAAAAAAATTTTATTGGCTATGTTTAAACAAAGTATTTTTTTTTTTTTTTTTTTTTTTTTTTTTTCGGAAACTTGGTAGTATCTGTACAAGGTTTTTTAAAAACTCTTTCTGGTATTGCCACTACTGTTTAGTTCTTTGATAATATAAAATAATTTTATTGAAGCAATATATATGCTTTCATCTTACTAACAATTTCTCCTTTAGTGAATTGGTGTTTTTATAATATAAATTTGCATAATCTTTCATCTTACTTAAATAAATAATTGTCTTATGATGATTAATGGAATTCATTGACTTTTACTATCATTATTTACATCAGTTTTACTATCAGTATTACTTGATAAAAGTACTACAGTAGTATCTGTAGTACTTTTGCTATCAGTAACATAAGATTAGTATTACTAATCTGTTATTACATTGAATTCTAAAAGCATTTTTTTTCAATGAAATTATATTTTTAAGACTACTCTTGTTAATTTTCTCTCTAGTATTGATTTATTTATAAAAAATTAAAATTCAGTTTTCAGTTATTGTGGCTAATTATAAAATATACTTTTATTAATTATAATTTTTTTAAAGTATTGTTTGATTAGATGATTATAATTGTCTGGCAAATAATAATATTTATATGCTGTACAGTTGTGGTAATCTGAACCCCTTGTAATACAAACAGATTGTCATTTCCCTAACTAAAATAATGGACTTGTCCTAAACCTTGTATGTGTAATTCACAAATAAACTAAACATGAACATGTACTTTCAAGTATCGCTGTTCATTTCTTCTTTTCATTTTATTTGATTTCCAGAAATATAAATCTCCAGTTGCCTGTTGTATCTTAAACAGTAAAAATAGTCTTAAAGTTTATGCACTGTATACTTTCTACAAAAACTAAGATTAAGATAGTTGAATGCTTAACAAATGGAAAATTGGCTACTAAGCTTGCAAAAGAATTCATATGGGAAAATCTACAATCAGTGACATAAGGAAGTTAGAAGAATAACTGCAAGCATTTATCTCTACCACTATGATGTCTAACTCTAAACACAAGATCAGCTAAAATCGTCTTAATCCATTTGAGACAAAATTGGCCAAAGGCAAAGTTGTTTGACTTGTTTTGCTTTACAAATTAGTTTCATTACTTCCTTTCAACAGAATACATTTATTTTCATTTTAGGGATAAGAGTTAATAATATAGGAGTTTCATTTACCGAACTTTTTATTAGTTTTGTATATTTAACTTTAATATAGATTAGATTTTATGATATTAAATTTATTGTTTTCTAAACATCTTTATAACTGTTTTATACTTATTTTCATTCATGTTTTGTATATAAGATATTCACTTAATTTTTTATTAGTTTTCATGTTAAAGTTTAATTTTTAAATTTAAACAACTGCATAAATAATAGCAACAAGCTAATTGTGATTCTTCCTGTATGCCATTCTCCCATCTAAAACAAATTTAAACTCTTATGCAACTAGGGAGAAGACTGAATTGCCTAGCCTAAAGGGTAAAAAAAATTTGTATTCTGTTATATAGGAAGAATAAATTTTTAGGGTTTAAAGAGTTAAACTATTTTCTCAGTTGCTTGGAAAAGGAAGTTACAGACATGCAAAAAACTGAAATTTATAAAATTCATAATATTCAGTATATACAGGGTTCCTACACACCTGGAAAGTCAGAGAATTAGGGATTTTCATTAGTGTTTGGAAAAAGTTATGGAAAGTCAGGGAATTTGTTGAAAATTGTCAAAAAGTCAGAAAAAGTCAGGGAATCTGTCTGCTTATCTGCCTTCTTGATTTTGTTTGTAGAATATGACTGACCAAGTGTAGTCATGTGCAAGGCAACAAGAAGTAATGCTGCAATTATGAATACGAGGTCTGTTCAAAAAGTATCAGACCTTTTTTCCCCCGCGTAAAGCAATGATGCGCGAGAGGCCTCCTTCGGTGGAGTTGTGGAGGGGACAGTCATGCACAGCCCTGAATTTTTTCCCGCCTCAGTCGTTGACAATCGGCCTATCAGGAAGCGTCAGTCGTTGGCAATCGGCCTATGAGTGAGGTCATGTAGTGCGCTCTTGTCGGATTCCACTAAGCTGGAAAATGACTGAACAACATGAGCAGTGATATTACATCAAATTTTGCCAAAAACCTTGGCGATACCCAAGCGTAAACCATTNTGGAGGAAACAATTTGTATCACTCTTGCTACGGATATAATTTGTAATCTGGAATTTTTTGCATACCTTTTTAATACGTATTTAATTGCGGCTCGCGAAAAATTTCAAATTTTGAAAAATGGTTCGGACTATCAAGGAGCTTGGCCACCCTGGGTATATATCTTTGTGTATATATTATATAGGTATGCGATATGATTGAATATATGATTATAAACACATTGGTTTATGATGTATAACTTAAATTGAATGGTAAAGATAAAATTATAATTTAATGATTTTTAATTTTACAGGCAACTTTTTCGAATCCTGAAAATTCTCATACCTGGAATTTTTACAGCCGAAGTATGTTTAAATTACTTAAAAATTAAATGCTGAAATAACTGTCTCATTACATATATTATGAATATAATTTACTTTAAAAAATTTGATTTTAAATGTGATTTATTTAATAAAATATAAAATTTATCTTATTCTTTACTTTCATAAAACTGTGTAATACTTTAGACCATGATTATCACTTAAAATCTTAAATAATCACTTCTAATGGGAACCAAAACCTTTTTGTTAAACTGAAAAAATTGTTTTTGGTCCTAATAGGACCATCTTCAGTTTCTATTACAATTTTTATTCAAACTTCTGTAAGTTCTTACATTTACTATTTGAACACCATTTTCTATAAAGTTTATCAAACCGTCTTCTATAAGATTTGATAATGAACATTATAGAAGATTGGTATTCAGATTTTTTATCAAAGAATACATTACAGTTAGTGGTTCAAAATAAAGAAACAAACTTTACAAGAAATTGTGTTCAAATATTATATGTGGGAACTTCTTTAATTAAGTTTGTGTAAAAGTTGTAATTGAAACTGAAGATGATCAAAGGGCCAATTAGGGTCAAACACAATTTTTCAGTAAAATAAAAGGTTTTGGTTCTCATAAGAAAGTGACTACTTTATTTACTTTAAAATTTAAAATAATATCTGTCTACTTATATACAAGGTGCACAATAAAATGTTAAGTCACCCAAATAACTTTTGAATGAAAGTAGCTAGAACTATGAAAGTGAGATTTCAGCTTTCTCGATACGTTAATGCTGCCATTGCCTCCCTTATCAGAAGGGCTTATTTACTGTCATCTATGCAGGAGCTGATAAACGTTGAGTTAGGCATCATCAATTTGGCAGTACGCGCTGCTGGCTTTTCACGTGCAAAATTTATGCATGTGCTCAATAAGGTAAAGAAAGCACTATTTCCAAGCACTGTGTTATGCAGCAAGAGAGAGTCTTCGAAGGTACAAATAGCGTTGCCTTACCTTGACCCCTATCTTTACGCATCTGCAGAATCTTTAAGCAGCGCAATCTTGTACTACCTTTAATCCCACTTCCAAGCCTATGCAAACTTATTTGTAATGATAGAGACAAATTTTCCACTCTTGAGAAGTCGGGTCTATGCTGTAGCTTTGGAAAATCAGTCTACGGGAGTAAACACAAGATATATCGTGGCCACCACTAGAATGCTTGCCAGCTGCCTTGATGAGCACCAAGATGATGTTATGAGGGGAAGACACACCACTGAGCTTGCAAGAAAGGTACTTGAGTAGGGTTACAACCTGCTATGGTCCCAAGTGGTTATGTTCAAGAGCTGCAAGGATCGAAAAATTGTTTTTATATGGGGATCTCTCCTCACTACCACCTTGGACACTTGCAACATCCCTATGCTCGATCTGCCCAGTGTATGGGTCACACTGTATAAGTCGTTTAAGCGAGTATTAGCAGTCTCTAGTATGCGTGTAGCGTGAGCATGGTTCTATGCATGTGCCAGCTCGCACTTCACAGGGCTAACCACTTGTTCGGTTTTTGAATTATGTTTAAATATTTACTTCGTGTTCTTAACGGCTTTAACAAAGATTCAACTTATTTTATGCGTTCTATTCTTCATTGGATTATTTCTGTTTAAAATTTTTCAGTAAATATCTGTATTCGCCTGAGGACGACGACTATAAGTTCGTTGAAAGTGCTTGCGATAAAAAAACATATGCATGTAACGCTGAACTCAGTGTCTTTATTTTTGTTATTATATATTAATTTGGCGTGTTAGTCATCCTATTGATTATTAGTATAGACTATAATACAATGAACAAACCAAATCCATAAAACAGAGGTTATCATATAATATAACTAAATAAAGTCTAAACAATAAGATCTTTCACATGGGAACACTACGTGCTAATTTTTCGTAGAAATACAGCATCTTTCATACACTTGTAATCCCATCAGCATTATGATGGTTCATACAATTGCCACATGGTGTTTATATATTTCAATAATTTTTGCATGCTTGCTGATATTTGGGTCTCTAATGGATGATCATATGGACTTCATCCCAGAATACTATGTTTTTTTCTTGTGTGGTGAGTACAGCAAGCATTGTGAAGTTGTTTTATGTTAAAGAAGCTATACAAATGAAGAGTTGTGAGATGATAATGCTATAAGGCAATACTAGGGAATCTGCATAGCAGTTTGCCTTCAAAGAGACTGATCCAATGGCATTAGTATGCATGAGCAACCCATTGATGTTATAGTATATGTCATGGCTAGCCCACATAGCAGTATGATGGAAGTTAGTTTGGCATCTTATGTGTGGGGACATTTTGCATGATAATCCCTACTATACTAGTACAAGCACTGATGTTTGGAGATAACAATAGCTGTCTTGATAAATGTAATTTTGCAATTTTTACTTTAGAAGAAAATCTTGCCTTATCAAACACCCTCTGGACTGTTGAGGTGCAGTTTATTTGTATTGAGGTTCAGGTAACCCCCGTATAACACGGCACTTCTATAGCACGGATTCACTCTAACACGGTTTGAGAATTGGGTAAAACCCAACCCTTGTACAACATAAAATGTAATAAAGGATGCGTTCTTTTATACCTCCGCATAACTCCGCACGAGCATTCTAATTGTTTTCCTGGCTACTTTGAATGCTCTTTCAACAAATAATCCATTTAATGGTTAAATTTTACAATTGGGACCCTTCTTTTGCCTCTAAAAGCTCATTTTAGAATTATAGATTCCTCCACACGATACTATCGGTAGTGCATGCTTTCGATAGATATCGAAAGCCCGCACTATCACTAGAAAGATAGGACGAATCTTTCTTTCACCATCGTTCGTAAATGCCTACAAACAGCAGCGCAATCCCTTTGCAGAGCGACTGCTATTAACGAACTCACCCACAAACTGTTACCAGTTGATGATGCTCATGCTGAGATCATCATATAAGATGAATAATCCTCTGGTAAAATATTTACTTAAATAATGATAAGTATTTTACCTATGAAAAAAATGAATAATAAATCTGATTTAAATAAGGACTTAACAACATGTTTTTTAATTTTTGGAACCTAACCCCCCCTTTTCACACTAGTTCTTTGTTTCGTGTAACATGGATTCACATAACTCGGCAATTTTTTGGAACATAACTCCCGTGTTATATGGGGGTTACCTGTATTTAACTAGAAAATAATTTGATATATAATTTTAATTAAAACTTAAAGTCAAATTTACGTTTACAAATGCCAGTTAAATTTACAATGTTCTTTGTTCACACACTATTGGCAACCAACTCGGTATGCCAATTACACAAAATAAAAAATAAAGTTTAAATAGTCCAATATACTGAATAGGTTCGCCGAGAAAACACCTTGCAACATATCAATGAGTTGTTGTCTAGTAGTAATCTCCTTCTGGCAGTCGAAGAATAAGCTGCGAGATGAATCCAGACTTGCCTTGACCACTGATGCACACTTGAAGTCTCAAACTGCGGTATATCCTGATGAGCCGAAGCAAACTTATGAACTTAACTTACTTCCAACATGAAGTCCCAAGCCGAATTGAACTTAAGTCTCCCGCTTCGACATTAACCTTTTTATAGTGTCAACAGTGGGCTCGATGACCAATTAGTGCTTACCGGGCTGTAGCACTATGCAAATATTGTGTGGTGTGATTCCTGGCCGACCAATCAGCGATTACCAGTTGTAATGCTATGCAAATCAGCTATTACCAAGCCATAGCTTTATGCAAATCACGCCACATGGCATGATTATCTGCTAACCAACCAGCGACCGCACATTGAAAAAGCCAATGGCCACTTTCATCCATCTGTCGGCGGCCGTTACTAGTTCAAAACAAAATGGGAATCATGTCTTTACATGATCCAACCCTGACACTTAGTCTTTTTTAAATAAATAATCATATCAATAATAAATGTTTTTTGGTGTATTAAAATTCAATTTCTGCTGTTTTTATTATTGTTTACAATAAATAATGGCAAAAGTTTGATTGTAAATTTATTAAAGTTTTGTCTTAAAAGTAAAAACATTAGTGATAAATTCAAAATATGCAAGAAAATTCCAGAAATTTGAAAAAGTTTATTTCTTTGATAAAGAAAAGAAAATTAAATCATTCTTGTATTCAGAGCTGGATTAAGCTATTACAGATCCTGTTTACCACATCCATACCATACACACATCACATGCTTTTAATAACATCTCATCAGTATAGACATGAAATTAACTCAATAAAATTAATGAATAAATAATTTTATTCAAATTTATTTCATGTCATCTTGGTAAGATGTTCATAATGATTACATACCATTCTGCATGCAAATCTATTGACATGTAAACAACAGAATTAGTAAATTATGAGGTGATAGTTTCACCAGACAGGCTTGCAAGCATTTAGTGCAGGACTGAAATATATGCTATCTTTCAAGTGAGTTAATCAGGCACTGCTTTTATGAACAAGAAAAAAAAGTTAAGTGAATTTATATAGTGTTTCTTATTTATCCAAGATCGAATCTGTTTTTGAAGCTTTTTTAAAAAATAATTCCTAATTAATTTTTTAAAACAAATTTATGTAATAAAATAACTTACATTATGTTAAATTATTGGACTGCAATTTGAAAAAAATTGCAGACCTATAAATTCCCACTGTCATCAGTCTGTCTGACCATCTGTCGTTCCTTAGTCTTGAGAACAGAGATGGATGAATGTCAAGACCAAATATGGAAAGATTAAGGACAGGAAACCTCAATTAACTATATTTTACAGTTATTTTAATTCAAAAATTTTCTCCTGAAAGGATTTAGATAGATGACCATCACAACTTTATTGCTAACAGGAAAGTGAGATGTACAGGGGAAAGACATTACTAATTTGAGGTGAAGAGCATATATTATAAATTAAATAAATTAAAATATGATTAAAAATTGCAGCCCAGCATTGTGACAATGTCACAATAAATCATTGTTAATTTTGAAGTTATTGTTTAATCTATTAATTATAAATCGACACTTCTATAGCACGGATTCACTCTAACACGGTTTGAGAATTGGGTAAAACCCAACCCTTGTACAACATAAAATGTAATAAAGGATGCGTTCTTTTATACCTCNTTTATATTAAGTAATTGAACTATTAAAAATGGATTTAAAAAAAATTATTAAATAATTTATATACAATAATGTAATTTCTATTTCAGAGTGCCTATTTAGTTTTAGTTGCTGCAACTTTGGTTGGAAGAACTTTGTGTGATATTTGGTTAATTCAGAATAACACTGTAATGGAGAGGTTGGTTGTATAGATATTACCCTAAAATTAATAATTAATTATTTTCTAATATATTTTAATATACAAAGTAAGATCCAAAAAGGTTTCAGGACTGTGTCTGTATTGAAACATAAGTGTATATCACAATCACAATGATTCTTGGTTTATATTATGACCCTACACAGGGAATTGGTTTCATCCAAACATGGTGTGGAGTGCTTGGCAATTAATGAATCTATCCCTGAAGAATGCACTGTTAACAATGAACTCTAGCTGGCATCATCTATTGTCTGCATGAGTCTTAAGAGTCAACCTGATGTTGCCTCTTATTACTTTCATCTGTTTCCTGAGTTGACGTGTCATTTTGAAGGTCATCTGTTTTTGAGTGTAGAAGAAGTGAAGAATGCAACACTGATTGATCTGAAGAGTATCATGAAGAAAGGGTTTCACAACCTCTACACTCACTGGCAGAAATGTGTTGTTGCAAGGGGGCTTATTTTGAAGGAGAATATATTTCAGCTTTGTAACTAACAATTTCTGGACTTATAGACCCAGACAGAACTTTTGGATGCTACCTTTGTATTATTTAAAATTTGTTATAATTTAATAATACATTATTCTTTTTTTTTTTAAATTTAGGGCAATTATTACTCGAAATAGCAGCATGTTTTTGAAAAATTTAGAATCGTATATATTTGCAATGCCTATGGTAAATATATAATTACATTTTATCTCTTGATTATAAAATTTGAGAAATTTTTTCTTATTTTATTTATTTTCTATTAAATCTGTTAATCTTTTTTTATTTACTTTTAATTTTATTTAATGTTTCTAGCAAGTTAATATTTTGTTTTTCAATTTCAATATTGTTTATAAGTATTCAATAATTCTGAAAAATTTAAATAAATTATTAAGATTAATATTTCAAACAATGTTTTTCTTGTACAGTTTTTTCCGTAATATATATTTTTGTTGATGATTGATGATAAATTTTTAAAATTTCAAATCTACATTATACTATTAAATATTAGACTATTAGGTATTTCTGAAAAATACATAACTACATTTATAAATTTTTAAATAAGGATTTTTTTGATTTTAAAGTTGTTTTGAACTTTTCAAATACCACTATAATATTCAAGGAATATAAATTATAAAATATCTTATCAATCTTAGTGCATTAGACATTCAGTAGCAACAAAATGTCTTATACTTCCAAAAATATTAGCAAAATTGATGAAGAAGAAGAGAATGATTGACTAATAAGAAAAAATACTTGTTCTATAAAAAAAGCAAAAATAAATACTTTTAATTTTACTGATGTTTTATAGCATTGGTACATTATCAACAGACATAGTTATTAGTATGCAAGATAAATGATCCACAAGTTCTTGACAATTTTTTGTTAGTTTTATGAAATTAATCAAATAATACATAATTAAATCAACACATAAATGATTTAAATGCAGGTTCATAAACCATGAGGTTTATGCAAAGGGCATAATTCTATTGACATTGCATAATAATTGGAAATTGTTTGCATTTATTTGGAATAAATTTGCACGGCTTCTTAGTTCTACATAAAGAAATTTATTTCCATGTATTTGTATATTCATATATTTGACTATTCTTCTTCTTCTTCTTCTTCTTAGCATTGTCCCACAGATGTAGGGTTCGCTATTCGGATCTTTGAATGCCACTTTGTTCGATTGAGTGCATCGTCTGGGTTCAGGTGCAGAACCCTTAAGTCTGCATTGATAGTATCTTGTGGGTTCCCAGACGAGGTTCGAACTCGAGTAAACCGTGAAATTCTTGTGCGACACGAGATGTAAACAACGAGACTCGGAACGGTTCGAGTATGTGTCAACTATCTGTTAATGTCTTAGCGGAAGACAAACTCTAACACGAGCGCTCATAAACAGGTAGATCTTTGACTCGCGTGTCTATAAAATGTTGGCCGAAATAAACCTTTTCGAACAAAAAAATAGAGGAATTTTTGATAGGTGAAAGGTGAAAATGATCGTTAAATTCTTAGACGTCAAAAATGGTAAATAACGGCCTGAGTTATGAGTGCAGGTGTTATTATTTTATAAACAGTCATCGAGCAGAGTCGACAAAGAGGTATCAGATGGACACCTCGAATCGGACCTTTCCCGCGACCCGAAAAAGTTTCGTCTTGCACCTGGAGACAAAGGAGAGACCAATCGGGAAGCGAGGAATGGGACGAGGGACCAATCCGAAATGCGAACAGTGGGGGAAAAACTATAAAAATCGGAACTTCAAGGTCGAAGGAGAGTCTCCTCCGGATTAACCCTACAGTGGTGATTAAATTTGTGCTGTGCATCCGCCGATCACCGAGGACGCCGCAACGAACTTCTACTTCGTCCGGATATCCTTCTCGTCTGCCCGAACTGCAACCGAGATCACGAACTTTCGCCGTTCCCAGGAGATTTTGGAATTGTCCATTATCGATGTAAGCATGAATTCGAACAAATAAACGGGTTTTATCTTGTAAAACACTTGTACATCATTTGCCTCCTTCGCCACCGCCTACATACACGGTTTCCCTTAGGCTCATTCTGACGCGAGATAGACTTTTTCCCCTTCAACGTCGGCAAACCTTACAATCTTGCCATCGTTGCTTCAGTTTTCTGCGGGGCCAGTAGCCATTCACCTTAGGTGATAGGCAATGTTGACAACTGTATCCGGGGCTGATCATTGCACATGGCCAAACCAGCGCAAGCATCTCTCAATTTTGCCTCAATGGGCATGATGCTAAATTGTTGGTGTATCATATCATTGGTAATATGGTCGAGGACGGATACACCAAGCGTCCTGCGAGCCATGCGCATCTCCATGGAATGGAGATGCTGTTCAGCTGCTCTCGTTGATGGCCAACATTTGGAATTATAAAGAGCGATGGGCCGTATCACAGTCCGGCAGATTTTTGATTTTAGGTACATGGGCATCTTTTTGTCACAGAGAACACTGGTGACTTCTCTCCATTGTAGCCATGCCGCAATCACCCTTGTTCGTATCTCATCGTCAATGCCCCTGTAACTAGGATTAAGCCGAGGTAGTGAAAAGTGTGCGTTTTATACAAGTTATCATCATTGACCTGGATCGTGCCCACATTTGGAAAAATTTCTAGATATTTGGTCTTCTTGGTGTTAAGGTGCAAGCCAAAGCAACTCATACGGTTGTTCCAGGCCTTCACCTGGCACTGTAGCTCTTCTTGAGTGGTGGTTGCAAGCATGATGTCATCAGCATAAAGCAGTGTCTAAGGCACATCGTTCTGTATATTCTTTGTGATAGTGTGTATGATGAGAATGACTATCTGAAGTACTAATTTGTTTGTTTGAAAATGCTAGCTTAAAAATACATAAAATGTTCAGTGAAATACAATGACTTAAAACAAAGGTTTAAGGACAAATCATTGTACCTTTATTTTTTCTTTTTACCAACAGCATCAACTTTTAGTAAACAGATGTTGGTAAATAGATGAAAATTTTATAAGTATTGTAAGCAGAGTTTAAAATCTGCTACTCATTATCACCCCTCCCCATTAACTTCACATCTGTGATCGTCAAGAATTCGGAGAACTGAGGGGTCACAAAGGAGACAGAATAGCTGGGTCTGGAGAATAGAGGAGAGAAAGATTCCCATCGTTTACCCTGGACATGTGTGGAACGGATGTAAAATTCATCTGTGCTTGTGATCACCTTTTTTTTTAAGTTCAATTATTGTATTCTTAACTTTTGTGATATTACAAATATGATAATGACTGTTTATCAATGATTTCACATTCACATTATTGATTCAGAACATAAACACAAGCCACAGCCATCTTGTTCATTAACTTTTTTTTATTTCTGTGTTCTGAAATTACTAGGAAATCCACAGCTTCAATTGTGTTTGAATAGGGGTCTGCAAATAACAAAAGGTTAAAAAGTGCTATTTTATGTGTGACATTTAATAGAATCAAACAAATTTGGCATTACAGATAAAAAAATTAAGATGGGTATAATTTTCTCTGATTTTGAAATTTTTCAATAGTAATAAATCTTGTGTGATCTGGATAAAAATCCTAATATGAAACATGAATCAGAATATCAGTTTTATGAAAATAAATAAAATAAATTATGTACTTGTCTTTTTGCTAAACTATTCATATTTCTCTTTGTACTTAAGAAAAGAGTAACACTATGTTTAAGTATAATATTTTAATTAAATACTTGACATATTTTTTCAGTATTGTTTAATTTTATATATTGTCAAAAATATATATAGCTAGTATGATTAGACTAATCTCAATTACTAATTTTACAAATTCAAGATTTTAAAAGTCTGCTTTAAACTAATATAAATCTCTATTTTTCTCATTTTAGGTTTCTTTAATAAATAGTTTACTTAAGGTATGTTTTTATTGATTTCTTTTTATTTATATTGAAGATTCTTTCAAGTTAAATTTTAACATATTAATTTCAGTTTGGTTTGCATGAAATGAAATTAAAGTTTCGTTCACGCTTAGCATCTCATCTTTATGATAGATATTTACAGTAAGTATAACATTAAATTTTATTATTTAATTAATATTTTGATATCTCTAACTTTTTATAGTGAATTCTCAAATTAATTAATATAATTTAACTGATATAAAGTTGATTTTTTTTTCTGCTTATCAAACAGGTAAAATTTACTTTAATTTGTAGAACTATTTAATATAAAAACTTTATGTATTATTCTAACAATAGCCTCTGATAAGTTAATATATTACTGTACATATTTATATATAGTTTACTTATTAATTTTATGACAAGGTCTAAAAAAATTAAAACTATAAAATTAGGTCTAATAAAATTAAAACTATTCTCTTTTTTTAATTTTTATTTAAAAATTATGTTTATAATTACATATTATTTTTAGTGGTATAACTTATTATCAGATGAATAATTTGGATAATCGAATTTCAAATCCTGATCAATTATTAACACAGGATGTGGATAAATTTTGCAGTTCATTAGCAGACTTATATTCAAATATTTGTAAGGTAATGTTTTATTAATTAATTGATATAATAGTAATATGAAGTCTTAAATATTTTATTTTTCAATTTTTCTTTATCTTATTCATTATTTCTGTTACTTGCAGCCTATCCTAGACATAATTATTTTTGCTGAAGGCCTTACTGCTTCAATTGGAGCACAGGTATTACATTAATTCTTAAAATATTTATTTAAGAAAATGTCATGTTGATAAATATAATTTAAACAATATTTTTTCTGAAATTTAAAAATTCTGTATTATCATGATCAGATGTCATATTATAAAAAACAAAAATGTAAAATGAAGATGAAAATATATTTTCATAAATATCATAAAAAGTGTTTAATAGCATTGTATAATGAAAAAAATTATAGAATTTTCATTACACTGTACATTGTCTGAAAAGTTTTAGGACTGATTTTTTTTTATTAACACTACAAGTGCCTTCCATTAGATATTGGTGAAACTACAGTATTTAGTACCAAGTCTGAACTTACTTGTGTTGACATTTAATTAGTTTGCACAAAGTGGTTTTATACAGAACATTGGTTCAAGTTAGTGTATTACAAGACCTTTTGTCATGAATTCAAAAACAGCAAAGATTGACAATGGAATTTAGTTCTAAAGTCAGAAAAGTGTAACTGAAACTATTGAAATGGTGCATACAGCTTATGAATTTTTTTTGGGTTTGAGAAAGTTTGCTGAAACTACAAAGTTTTGAATCAAAATAGTGTTGGTAGTTTTTTTTTCAGTTGGCAGGGAATTGTACACAAAGAATCGGTTTTGAAAAGATAAACAGTTAACTTGAAATTACAAAATAATGATGGACTAGCTGTTGAAGAGAATTTGGTGCACTAGTAGAGCTGCCATCTTTTCAAAATTTCTGAACCAGACAATAGGTTTGTTCCTGAGTGGTTTGAATTTGAAACCGTACAAGGCATGCGCAATGTCATTTTACAGCCAAGAACTGAATAATGCACATGCCAGTTTTAAACCAGTTAGGGATTTGTGTTGGAACAGACCTAATATTTGCCAGAGATATTTGCAAGTTAGAATTTTAAAAGTACATTTTCCATCACTCTTAGCCTAGGGATAAGATGGGGATAAGTTTGGCTGGGCGTGTGAAGTTAGTCTTTAACCATTAAAATAACATATTTGCAAATATTTTTATAAATTTATTTTATTTTATCACAATTTCACAATTTTTTCAAAAACTGGATAAATTAATAATCAATCCAAACCATAAATTTAAAAACTGGCTTGTCTGGGTGAAAACCAGCTTGGTGGCAACACTATACACTAGACCTGACATGGCTGGTTCTGCTACATGACAAATGCAACCATTGTAGTTCCTTGCACAGAAAAATGTGAGTTTTCAATATCCAACTTACTTGTTAGGCCAGGAACACACATGCATAAAATTCAGTGTAAAATCTAGCATAAAACGGAAAGTGTAAAAATTTTTCCAAAATTTTGGCTGAAAAATAACTGAAAAAAGAGTAGAGTTTGTCTCTACTTTTTTACGCCAAAATTTTTCCAATAAAGAGGAGTCTTTTTTTGTGACGTCAAAGTAAACATGTGTTTAGCAGTGTAACTAAAGTTGATATGTGAGGTGGAATTGGCATGGGTTTGGTCCTACATTGTCTGATGTCCACGTCGACCTTGACCACGTGTCCTGCATTTTTTGTTCCGTTGGTGAGACAGGTGAATAATTTACTTTATTTGGATCGGTTATGAGATATTTACAATATTATTGAATTATAATACAAATCCAAGATTGGCGATGCTGTCAACTCCAAAGGGTTAGTGTAGAATGAAAAAGTCTCTCCCCTCGTTGGAGTTCATGAGTAAAAATGAGGTCAGAGGGCGTAGGTCATGCAGTGGCACACTCTGCCCTACACATGGTTTTTATTCTAATAATGGTGGCAATAGTGGTTACCCCTACAATTGTGATTGTCTCCAAGAAATGAAAAATAAATGAAAAGAAGACTTTTATTGAATCCATTTGACCACATCAGTATATTTATGACCAAAAAAAGTGTCATGTATAAAGGAATTTAAACAAAGTTTATGGATGGCCATAGGTGCTAAGTTTCAAATAACAGGTAGGTCTAATAGAATCAATATATAGTATTTAGATCACACGTTCGTTATTTCAATTCAGAATACAAGTCTATTAATTTGAATTTTCTAAATTATAGCAGAGGCAGCAGAGAAAAAAATGGAAGGTACAAAGGGATAGATATAAGAGAGAAAAAAAATTAATAAAATGTTAGTGGCAGTGGTATTCTCGATTGTTAAATTGTAGTTCTGGAATCGATGAATTATTAAATCCATGTAAATCACACTCTCAAAATAGCTTCCTAACCCAACAGCATCTCTTTTGGTGTTTTTTTAATAAAATCATTTTGTGACCGCAGGGTTGGCACCTCTTTGGTGCCCTGTCAGGATTACACCACTGTGTCTTAAGGACAGAGACAGAAACCAGATTGGCTGTTAATTTTCTTTACGCAAACTGTCGCGTGTGTGGACTTTTGGTTCCGGGATGGAGGCAGAAGGAGAGAATCAGAGGAATTACACTCTATAGATTTGCTTTATATACATAATACCCATTTATTGTTCTATTTAAGCTATATATAAATCATATTCAATTTCAGTTAACATAGCTACTTCTTTCCCAATAACCCTTAATGGGAGAGAGAGTTTACATTTACTTTGCGCGAGGATAAATACCTTGATATAAGTTAGGAGAGTAAGAAATGTAGTCCTTGAGTCTCAAGAGGTCCTTTTGAACGATGAGGTTTCTTAGATGCTGGTCTTCCTGCACAGTGGTGATTAGAAAAGTCCCTGGCAGCGGCTAATCCACACACGTAATCCTATAGTTCACTTACTCTGGAGACTCTCTTTTGCACATTGACCCCTCTTCTTTATAAAGGGGGTATCGTTGGGTTTTTTCCACTGCCTTATTAGGACTGTTTTCCACCACTGACCAATAGTTATTTTCTTTCTTCTCTTCGTAGATTGCGGGGGTGACACATTCAATGTATCATCTTCAACCAGGAAATAAGTCCATAGGAAAACAATTTAATGATCTTTTTAAATGTCGTTTATGGTGTTTATTTCTCTAAACTTTTTCTCTCTCAACAAAAAATTTTTTTAATAATTTATTCCACTAAGTTTGCCTCTTACAATTTCTTAAAATCATCAATGATTGAGTGGAATACAACCACCAACAATTAACATCATCAGATATCAATGGTGCCATTTTACTAAACTATATATGATGTAAATAATAAAAATAAAACAATGGGATCAGTTATTGTAAATACAACCACCAACAATTAACATCATCAGATATCAATGGTGCCATTTTACTAAACTATATATGATGTAAATAATAAAAATAAAACAATGGGATCAGTTATTGTAAATATTAAAATTAATAAATTTCAAAAAATTTTTCTTTAAATAAGAATACAAGTGAAATTCACTTTTTTAAATCCGATTTCGATAGAATTAAAAACAGAGATGGTATAGAAACTTATTTACTATTTCTCACTTTACACAAAACTTGCAGATATTTGCATGGAATCATTGGATGAAAAAATCTTCCAGTTTCAAGGTTTTGTTTTTTATACTAGATATGTGGATTATATATTAATTTTGTATGACTCAAATGACACCACAGCTGAAAACATCAAGATTTATGCAAATAGTTTAAATAATAACAGTAAATTTACTTATGAAGAAGAAAGAAACTATGAAATTAATTACTTAGATGTCACAATTACAAGACAAAATGAAACATTGCTGTTTCGTAAGTACGAAAAAATATGTAATAATAGTAAGATGATTATCATAAATCATATTGCCCTATAGGAATAAAACGAAATGTATTTTTGATGGAATTAAGGAAAATATTTAATAGAACAACATTAAAAAAATATTGAAATAGAGACTAAGAACCTTTTTAAAAAATATTTATTAAATGATTATCCACAACAGCTTATATATAAGTTGTATAATACTTATATTAACCACTTGTCGCTCACCGATTAATTAATTTAATGTAATTAAGCATTAAAAATACTTAAAACTGAAAAAACGAAAGAAATGCGTTAATTTTGAAGAAAAAGCTTCAAATTTCATTTTCCTTTCTCTCGCCTTTCTGTGAAATTTGACACTGACAAGTCATTGTTTACACAGCTGGATGACCTTGAGAACAGCTGGAGTCCGATTTCCTGGGGCATTCTCATAGACGTCTCGGGAGGACAAGGGTTTAAAGTAGGGTGAATACTAGCTGGCCGTATATTTTTAAATATTTTTAAAAAATTAAAATTTTAATTGTGATTTCCGACCCCCTTTCTAGATATTTGGTCTTCTTGGTGNTAACGCTATGTAACATGCCCGAGTTAACTCGGGACTGGATGTTAAGGGGTTTTAATAATAGATATAATGTCAAAGATAAAAAAATAGAAAATTTATATATTAAAATTCCGTATATTTCAAAATTTTATGAAAAATATAAAAATTATTATTATTTTATTTTATAAATATAAAAATTATATTAAAGAATTATTTTTTATCAACTTAGTAGGTGAACAAAGAAATAAATTAAACAAGAGTATCTGTTTCATTAACAAAGTAAATGAGAAACAATCAAGGAATCCTTTAGAAGTAGCAGGAGTCGTATATAGATTGATGTGTACATGTACAGAACAGAAATATTATATTGGAGAAACAGGAAGAAAACTTGAAGTGAGACTGAAAGAACATGAGGCGGCAATCTGACTAAACAGAACCGAATCTCTGTGGCAACAACACTGCAATATAACAAAATGTATTATTGACTGAAATAATAATAAAATATTGTACAAAGTAAAAAATCTTGTAAAAAGACATGTTATCGAACATTATTGTATAAAAGGACATGTAAATTGTATTAATTTAAATACTGGCGCATGTGTTGATACATGCTGGAATAGCTTGATAGAGTATTAAAGTATCGGCAATGTAAAACTGTAATATCCACTGATGAGGCTGATAAGCGAAATATATTTGGAAGAAAAAGGAAAAATAAAGTGAGAAATAGTAAATAAGTTTCTAGTCCATCTCTGTTTTTAATTCTATTGAAATTGGATTTAAAAAAGTGAATTTCACTTGTATTCTTAAAGAATTTTTTTTAAAGAAAAATTTTTTGGAATTTATTAATTTTAATATATGATGTTATTACATTTCTGTTGCCTATTTGGCCAGAATTTTTACTTGTGTGTTCTGGCATAAAAGTGTAAAACAGAAACCGAATCAAAAGCTGATTTCTGATTAATTTTTCTGCCACACAATTTTACGCACGTGTGTTCTTGACCTTAGATTTGGCATCTACCGATTTGTTTTCTGTTCCACTTGAAAAAATATTGTTTCTAAATTATTAGAGATTTAGAAGAATATGATGATTGAGCTAATTAAAATTTCACTGTCTGAGTTCTACAGTGATATCTAGAAGCTCTATGAATGTGCCAGGTATATATAATGAAACAGGTATATATAGAGTTCGAATATATGTTGAAGGTTAAGGATTAATAAAAGTTTTCTGTTAAATTACAGGCAGCCCTCAACTTTCGCACATAATTGGTTCCTGAAAGTGTGTGTGAATGTTGAATGTTCGAAAGTAGAGGAATGTAAAAAAATATGCACTAAAAACTGAAATATTTATTCCTTAATTTTACTCTTATTTTTAAAAATTGCACATATCATAGATCTGTTTACATTGTATGAACGCCCGATTGAAGTAAAAGATTCACCGTTTTCAGAATGTTTAATTATTTCCATCTTTGTCTCAATCATATGAAGTTTATGAGTCCTTAATTTCTTTGTTCATATCAACACTGCAGTTTCTCTGTTTCTCACTCTCAATTTATAAGGATGAAATATTTAAACATAAAAAAATTGGCAAAACACACATGTTGACACACGCCCTAATGCAAAACTGAAGCTGTTTTGGCCTCTTGCTCTAAACAACACAGTAGTGATTAGGATTCTGAGAAGTCCACTATTGTAGGAAGTAATGTGTCCGAGAACATAGAGCGAGCTACTGCACTTTGTAGTGTATGTGTGTTCTGCATGGAACAAAAGTTTTTCATTATCGACAAAAATATTTAAACAGTTGAATTTTTAAAAATGTGCGAAATAGCAAATTGTAAGAAAGTCGAGGGCCGACTGTATATTTAAATTAAAAGTGAAAGCTAAATTTTATATTTTATTATCTTATAAATTGTTTATTTAATGATCTATAGCACTTGCTATAATAAGTATGTTGTTCTTTAAGGGTAAATCTGTACATATTTTATTAAGTATTTTTAAATAGAATTATAATGTAAGATGACATATTTGTTTTTATTTTAGGTACCTTCTCTTATGATGATGTATTTAATTTTCATTGGATCTCTTTTAACAAGGTAATTTCAGTATATAAAATAAAATCACTACTTTGGTATCATCCTTTCACTACTTTATATATACCATTTCTTGTCAGAAACTCTTTGCACTGACAACCCTAATATGATGTGTGGCAAAGTGAGTCACTCAAGTGACATTCTTCTGATGACAATTCTTATAGATAAAGCTTCATACACTTGTCTAGACATGAATACATGATCACCATTTTATTGGAATTATCAATGATGATGTACCTATTTTAATTATGTGAAAGAGGTATCATTTTTGGATATTTAATTGAATGTAGTGTGAGTAAAAATTGCTGGTGGGTTGTAAAAAATGGGCTGTCAGGCCAGAGATTGGTCAGGCATGCTCTGTAAAAATATTGCAGCTCTCTTATCTGAATTACTGAGACATAATCTATTTAAAAATGTGTGTGATATATTTTGAAAATTATGTTTAGTTCCTATCTAAATATGTTTTTCTTCTGTCTCAATTTTATTCTTTTTAAATTAATTTGAGATATATATATAGTAAAACCTGTCTATGGCGATCACACATGGTTCGTTTTAAAAAGTGGTCTTTTAGACAGATGCATTCTTTCACCATCTTGCCTCCTGAACACTTCTTTCCCTTTTTGATTAATGTTTTATCTGGAATGGCATGAAAAAAAAGTCCTGTTTTGTCTGTGTTATAGACATCACGAAAATCATATTTATCTATCATCGAAAGAACACACAGTTTCTAATTTTCCACATTAACTTTATAGACGTCACCACTTTCATTACACAAGGTGCGATAACAATGTTATGATGCTTTCAGAAACTTTCCAGCCATCCATTCTGCATGAAACGATGAAATGCCTAATTTTTCTGCAAATTCACATTCTTTTACCCGAATGATTGGTCCACTCAAAGGAATCCATTTAGCACTTGCCTTTTGAAACCACTCCCATACCAATTTGTTTATCTCTTCATTTGGCTGCTTTCTTTTTCATTTGCCATCCTTGTTTCCATTAGTTTCCCATTCCTCTAGTATAGACTTCTTCTGTTGCAAAATTTTGAAAATTTGCATTTTTCCACATTTAAATTTCGCCACTAATCTCTGTTGTGATAAGCCATTTTCACTTTCTCTGATAACTTTAACACGATTTTCTAACAACATCACTTTGCATTTCTTTCATTTTTCCGACATTTTCACACAAACTGAAATGAATTTACTTTGTAGCTGGACTAATTCATTAACACCTGTAGCTAATTTCAAGAGTGGGAGAAGTGCCCAAGATGGGTTCGAACAATAGTTTAGACCAGATATATTTGCGGAAGTGGTCACGTATTACAGTTGTATGTAAAAGTGATGCCTGCGGTCGTGTTACACAGTCAGTCATTGAATACAGGTAACTTATACGAAGACTCTATGTATAAACTATTCTGTGCCAGAAATTTAGGTTCAGCAGTTTCCTCTGCGCAATGATGAACCAGTCAGTCATTCAGTCAGGTCATGTAATTTTATATATATATATATTGATAAAATAAAGGGAGACTTTAATTTATCTATGATAAAAATTAATTTCAATTTAACTAATATAATTACACTTTTTTTGTTAGGTCATAATTAAAAAATAAAAAAACAGTTATAAAAAGAGAGAAATCTTATATACTTCAATATTCTAAAAGTTTAAAAATTTTTAAATTTTTTTTTGTTTTGGTGTTATTTTGAGTTTTGAAATTGATAATCATTTCAGTTTCTAGTTTAATTAAAATCATTTAAATGTAATTAAAAGTTAAAGTTCTTTTTTCTTTTTAGACTGAGAGGTCCAACTGCAAGAATGACAGCAAGTGAACAGAAATTGGAAGGAGAATTGCGTTATGTAAATTCTCGACTTATAATGAATAGGTTCAAATTATAATTTTTTACAAAGTTATTATGATTAATTTCAATTAATAAAACTTCTGTTAATAACATTCTAGTGAAGAAGTAGCATTTTACCATGGAAATGAGAGAGAGAAAAGAACTATTAAGCAGGCATTGAAAAGATTGGTAAAATTATATTTTATAAATACTTATTTTTTAAATTAAAAAATTTTTGTAAAATATTGATAATGATTAGAAATTTTAAACTTTTTGTGTAGGTTGGTCATTTACGTACCTCTCATTATTTTCAATTTTGTATGGGTTATATAGAAAATATTGCAGCCAAATGTAAGTATTAATAACAATTATTAAGTGTTTTAAAATATACTTGATGGCAAGATTATTGTTTTTATTATCTAATTTATCATCTGTATTAATGAGTAGAAACTTTAAAAATGATATGCTATTACGAATTATTATTATATTTTTAAAAAATATATAAAAATATTTAATTTGAAACATGTTTTTCTGAATAAAATTGTGTTCAGTAAAATGTTTTGAATAGGAGAAAAGTTCTATATGTTATAAGCATAATTGTTTTTAGCTTTACTTAGTTATTATTATTATTACAGTAGAGCATCGATTATCCGACCCCCGATTAACCATCACATAGGTTAACCCACCGTTCTGGTTGGCAAATTTCAAATGTCCGCTAGTGATGTGGCGCTACAATATTTGGCTATGTCTTGGCTACTTTAATATTATTTTTTAAAAATTTTTGCGTGTTTTAGCTGGCAACACGGCTCGACCATTGAAGGAAGGCCAGTATTTAAACGAGACTTAATTTTCTAATTATGAGTGGTTGTGGTTGTGTGAACAATAAAGTAATTTAAAAATAATTTTTAACGATACAATAGCGACGATTATTATTTAAAAAAAAATTTTGTTAGGCTTAACATCAATGAAAATTCAACGCGAAGTTGGTTAATAGTGATATACTAATATACTATTTACATGGGATATACTAATGTATTATACTAATAATGTATTTTTTTCATTCTTTTCGGTTATCCAATTTTTTCAGTTATCCAACCAACCTGAGTCCCCAATTGAGTCAGATAATCGATGCTCTACTGTATTATTATTTATATATTGAATGCATACAGTAATGTATATGTTACTGTGAATGACCAATATGTGGTGAATGTCAACATTTTCCGGTGAATGTCAGCATTCACACAGTCGTTTTGTGTATGTACGAAATATTTGCTAAATATTATTATTTCTCACTTGCACCGGCAAATGTCGACATTCAGCATGCACTGATGGTGAATGTTGAATAAAAATATTTTTATTACGTTAAGACAAAAATGAAACTTTTTAATATGTCAAAATAGGAGAAAGCTTAAGTAACAGCACATGTAAATAAACTGTTGAACATAAAACAAACAGTACATTCTAAATAAATTATGTGATTAATGTTACACAATTTTATTTATTGCAACAACTCAAACTGTTATGGCATTTTGAATTTCACAATAGTCCCTTGCTTTTACAACTGCATTTATTCGTGGAACTCTTCTTTTTGCAATGACAGCATGTATAGCCTTGCCCTCTACTTTTTGAATTAGCTGCAGCTGTTATCTCAGTGATATTTCTTGAAAAGAAATCTCATCTATGGAAAGTAACTTTTCTTCACAAATTACGAACTGATTACGGGTATAAAGCTGCTTGAGAGTACCGTTTTTGTTTGCTAATTTTAAAATATCGGAGTCTTCTATTCCAACAACAACCGCCATCACATTTTGGGCATCTGTATGTCCACGGTCGACATCATTGAGTTGTATTTGCACGGTATCACCAATTTGAGCAGTAAGAAACAGTGAAGAATTTAGCGACAGACTGTCGCCTCTCTATGGACATCTGTGTCTCGGATGTCGTTTCGACCTCCACCGAAGCTTATCTATGCTTGTCGACATACACCGGCGATTGTTCAAATGCATATAATATAACCAAATATTCGGTCTTTCACCAATGTATTTTGTATGTGTCGACATTCACTGGAGAATATCGACATTTTCTAATTTCGGTCTTTTACAGTAACATATATAATTCTTATTGAGTTAATTTTCGCACGTAAAATACTGAAAGACAAATATAATTAATATCAAATAAATTAATTTTCAGATACAAATAGTACTGATTAAATTCCTAAAGTAGTTTTTTACAAATTGCTATTAACATCTTTTTATAATGTGTGCTTGCATACACATGCACACTCATTCACTCTCTCTAAATTCAAGACTACAAAAGTAATCAAATTTATAATAATAATAAAGTAAAAGAAAAATTAGTGCTACAGGATGTTAAGGCCATGAAGCTTATGATAAAAAAGATGATGTTGATCTTGATTTTCCCAAATAATAATTTTCCTAATGATTTTCTTTACCCTTTTTTTTTTTTTTAATGGACTTCACACATCCAAGATATCCAAGATTCACACATGAACTATGTGGCAGCCATGTAAAACTTCAAATGCTCATAATTTCTAATAAATAATTTTTTGAAATGATGCACTTGAGATAAAAGCTCATTTATTTTTCATGTAGAATCATAATATGCAATAAAAAGAGATGGTTCCTATTTAAGAAAATGAAGTTGATCCTATTTTCACCAGTTGTAGTTCCATCTGGTTATCCCTTTGAAGTTAACATTTTTGGTTTGGAATTTTTGGTTTTTTTGATAGCATATGTCTTTTTTTTCAGTTATTTCGGTGGATTGATTAAAACGGACCACTCTGTATAAATAATTTTAATATTTGATTAAAAAAAAAAATATTAAATTCAAAATAAAAAAGAAAACTAAGACCTGGAATAATAATTTTTAAAAAATAAATAGGGATGCAATTATGTATTCTTTATATTATATTTATTAAAATTTTATCAATAATGTAAGCAATTAATTTTAACATTTAACATTGGTAATACTTATGAATATGGATTTATAGACTGGGCCACAGCTTTTGGATTTTTTATCATCAGCCGTCCATTTTTAGGAACAAGACATTCACAGATGGCTCACAATAATCGTCTGGAAGTGAGTTTACTGAATTTTAGTTAATAAAATTATGACATAATTATTTTGCCTTCTATACAAAATATAATTTTTAACTTTTTAGCTTTACTATCGCAGTGGAAGAATGTTGGTAAAACTTGCAGAAGCTGTAGGACGTCTTGTATTGGCAAGTAATGAATTGACACGATTAGCTGGATTTACGTTGAGAATTAGTCAGTTGATCAAAGTACTCGATGATTTGAACAAAGGGCAATATGAACGCACAATGGTAGATTCTTGGCAAAATAATAATAGTAAGTAATTAAAATATTTATTTTCAGAACTTAAATAATTTGTTTAACATAAAAGTTTTATTTATTTAGCATCTGATCGTCTTAATTCTGTGCAGCTTATGTCAGGAAATGGAAAAATTATCACTGAAAATAATATTATTAAGTAAGAATCTGTATTTGAAGCTTTTCATTAAATGATATGCAAAGTATTAAAATTTAATTTACGAAAGCTAATTTAAATGATTTCATTTTGTTTCCAGGTTTATTAAGGTTCCTCTTATGACACCAAATGGTGATGTTTTGATTGAAGAATTAAGCTTTGAGGTTGAATATGAAATAGTATTATAAGTAAATATGTTACAGATAAGATGTTAATGTTAAAATTTACAGGTACACTCTGGTAGGAATGTTATCGTTTGTGGACCAAATGGGTGTGGAAAAAGTTCCTTATTCCGTATACTAGGAGAGGTAGATTTTAAATTTAATGTTTTGAAATAAATTTATAGCCATTAAAATTTTTAAATATCTTGAATATATTATCCTAGCTCTGGCCTATATTTGGTGGTACCCTTATTAAACCTACGAAGTTAAATCTATTTTACATTCCACAGGTAAGTGCTTTCTGACGATGATGCTATATTTTATAAACTAATGCTGGTGGTTGATTTTAGAAACCATACATGACATTGGGAACACTAAGAGATCAAGTAATCTATCCTGACAGTTATGATGATATGATAAAGAAAAATGTCACAGATGATGATTTGAAATATTACCTTGAATTGGTAAACATTTAATATTAAATTTTTTATTTATTTTGGTTGTTATTAATGTTTAAAAATATTTTTTTAAAAATTTAGGTTCAACTCACTTATCTATTAGAACGTGAAGGGGGTTGGGATGCTATCCAGGTACCATGATTTGTTTGGTCATTTTGTTTTTTGAAGAAGAAGTTTATAAAATAAAATTTTAAATTTTAGGATTGGTTAGATGTTTTGAGTGGAGGTGAAAAACAGAGAATAGCAGTAAGTGAATTAAAAAATATAATCTTGACTTAAAATTTTTTCATTGTAATTTTAATATTTAAACAAGTTCATAAATAATGAAATACTTATTGAACACATTCAGAAGCTTTAGACTTGACATAACAATTAGTAATATTTGTTTTTTTAAGGAACAAAATTATAAATTTAGAAATTTATTATTAAAAATTAGTATTTTGTAAATGCTTATCATTTGAATATTGAAAGTTCATGAAATATCAAACTTTACTATTTGTAGTTGGCAAATCCAACAATTATTGCATGGAGAAATGGAAATAATCCAGATTATTTTGTTTTTAATTTTGTAATATTCACAGCTTTCACAAACTAGTTCAACACAAAATACTATTACAGATTCATATAAATATGTTTGCTTTATGTAATCCACAATATGGTAATAAAATGATTAGTATTAAAGTAATTTATTAATTGCTTCACATAATCTACAACATGATTTATCAATAATTTAAAATTATTTAGTAAGATAATTTTAAACAAATTAATTATTTAAAATATGAAAATTTCTAGTAAATTTAGAATAAAAAATTTCTAAATAAAGATTCTTTTATCATTTTACCTCTCATTATTCAGATACTAAAAGCTTCAATACATCTACTAGAGTTAATCTTATATATTGTCTTCCTACTAGCTTCTTAACAGTGAAATTTTAAGAAGCCAGTAAGATGACTCTCAACTCAAATAAGAATTTTGTATATGTAGAAAACATTCTTCTCTTGAATCTATGGCTAAAAATGAGGAAAGTCAAATATTTATTTTTCAAGAGAAAACTTGGAAGAATTTTAGTTACTGAAATTTTCATAACTTCACAAAAGAATAGTTAGCTAAAAACAGAATTTGTTAAATTTTTTGTGCTCCAATGAAACCTTTTCATATTTGAAAAAAAGTTTCTATTGAGCTTTCTTTGAAAGATATTAGTAATATTTTTTTTTAAGTAAACAGAGAAATTTTAAATTATTGAACCTAATTAATACTGCCTAAAAATATCTCTAGATAATCAAATCCATAATTTTACATAGTCAAAATTCAATCTAATTTAAGTAAAAGATGATGTTAATAAATGGAATTTATTAAATAATTTCTGTATGTAAACTGAAATAAATTTTGTAACTTGTAGATGGCAAGATTATTTTATTGTAAACCCCAGTTTGCAATACTTGATGAATGCACAAGTGCAGTTAGTGTTGATGTTGAAGGATCCATGTATCAGTATTGCAAAAAGGTAAGTGCATAAAATGATCAGAAAAATTATTAGAATTCATTGTTTGAATTAAAAATAAACCTATTATAGGTGGGCATTACTCTGTTTACCGTATCACATCGAAAATCACTGTGGAAGTATCACGATGTAAGTAAATTTAATCTAACGGGCGATTAACATTTGAAAAGTTTGTTCTGATATTAAAAAAAAAATATTCATTTCCAGTATTTCTTATACATGGATGGTAGAGGAGCATATGAATTCAAAGAAATTGGACCAGATACTGAAGAATTTGGATCTTGACTTTTCATTGAAATAATAATCTTTCTGATTACAATTTTACTTTTAATATTTTTATGTGACATATAATTGAAAGAAATAGGATTTATTTTATTCTTAAACATGCATAGATCTGTGATATTTAAACGTTTATGCACAAAATGCATTTTATTAGAGAAAAGGTTAATATATTATTTGGTAGAAAATTAAAATTATATCTGAGATTATGAAGTAGTTGAACAGCTTCATTGAAATTTCTGTAATGTAATTTATATGCTAAAAGTGTAAGTAGATTTTGAAGTATTAATATATAATTAATTATTTAAAAGTATAAAATCTACATAATCAGGATTATATTATATTATATTGATTAAAAAGTTACCTGAAATGTAACTCATGTATAGTATAACATTACATTTTATTTTTGTATGTGTCTTGGATTATTCCAAGATTTACAATGTATCAATTTATATATACCATAGATTTTGCAATATGACAACGCTTAATATAAAATTCAAACTGAAATTTATCATGAATTATGACAATTCAGTATAAGATATAAAATGACTGACTGACTGACTGGAGTTGTCAGTATTGTGATTTTATTCTATGAAAATGAAAAAAAAAGGTCACAAAATTTACAATGTATCAATTTATATATACCATAGATTTTGCAATATGACAACGCTTAATATAAAATTCAAACTGAAATTTATCATGAATTATGACAATTCAGTATAAGATATAAAATGACTGACTGACTGACTGGAGTTGTCAGTATTGTGATTTTATTCTATGAAAATGAAAAAAAAAGGTCACAAAATTTACAATGTATCAATTTATATATACCATAGATTTTGCAATATGACAACGCTTAATATAAAATTCAAACTGAAATTTATCATGAATTATGACAATTCAGTATAAGATATAAAATGACTGACTGACTGACTGGAGTTGTCAGTATTGTGATTTTATTCTATGAAAATGAAAAAAAAAGGTCACAAAATTTACAATGTATCAATTTATATATACCATAGATTTTGCAATATGACAACGCTTAATATAAAATTCAAACTGAAATTTATCATGAATTATGACAATTCAGTATAAGATATAAAATGACTGACTGACTGACTGGAGTTGTCAGTATTGTGATTTTATTCTATGAAAATGAAAAAAAAAGGTCACAAAATTTACAATGTATCAATTTATATATACCATAGATTTTGCAATATGACAACGCTTAATATAAAATTCAAACTGAAATTTATCATGAATTATGACAATTCAGTATAAGATATAAAATGACTGACTGACTGACTGGAGTTGTCAGTATTGTGATTTTATTCTATGAAAATGAAAAAAAAAGGTCACAAAATTTACAATGTATCAATTTATATATACCATAGATTTTGCAATATGACAACGCTTAATATAAAATTCAAACTGAAATTTATCATGAATTATGACAATTCAGTATAAGATATAAAATGACTGACTGACTGACTGGAGTTGTCAGTATTGTGATTTTATTCTATGAAAATGAAAAAAAAAGGTCACAAAATTTACAATGTATCAATTTATATATACCATAGATTTTGCAATATGACAACGCTTAATATAAAATTCAAACTGAAATTTATCATGAATTATGACAATTCAGTATAAGATATAAAATGACTGACTGACTGACTGGAGTTGTCAGTATTGTGATTTTATTCTANGTAAGTCACTTCCGGTGCGCTGTCTCTCCCTCCATCCGGAACCTGATCGCTCCATTATGCAATTGTTTGCGTGACTTAATTTGGAGGCACTGCAGCTTCCGTGTCAACCGAGGCACGGTGGTGTCCATCCTGACAGGGCATCGAAGAGGTGCCGATTCCCTGGTCACACAAGTTTTAGATGACACAAAGTGTAAAATTAGACTATGCTCCTGAGAAATGTTTATTGTACTGTAAATAGAAAGATTTCCTTACTTTCATGACTGAAAAAGCAGATGTTTGTCCCTGGAATTTATGACACTGTTTTTATTTTGAATTCTAGTGTTGCTCTTGTGTTGGTAAGTGGTCTAAGTTTTCTGCTTTTAGTTTTGTGCTCTATTGGATAATATCTTTTATATAGAAGTTATTCTACTGTTTTATCAAGTAAGTTTATTATAATCATATTATTTCCAGAGAATATTATCTATTTGTTTTCTTGCGCATAAGATATAAAAAAATGGGTTTTTAGATAATTTTTCTTATTTGTTAGATTAGAAATTTTTCTTTTTTTAATTAATATGCTTGAAAAAAAGAGAAAAGTAGAAGAAGAAAATTGAGAATTTAGAAGTGAATGGACTGAATCCTATGCAGTTCTTTCAAATTTAACAGGATTCCCAGTGTTTAAAATGTCAAGAAAAGTTTTCTAATAACAAAAAATGTACAAAGGCATTTTTTTAAATAAACAAAGCATTTGCAAACGCTTATCGAGAGGGAGAAGAAAGAAGAAAAGCAGAAGAAATTCAATGTAAAATGAACTTAAGTAAAGATACATTTTCAAATTGGATAAAATCAAGTAATAATACAATTAATTACTGCTAGTTTTGTTGCTACTCTAGAAATAGTGAAACGAGGAAAGTCATTAACAGATGGCGATTTTGTGAAAGATTGTTTTATTAAAATGTCTGAGTATTTTCTTTTTTTGTGATTTTAAAAATAAAACAGAAATAATTATTAAAATAAAAGACATGCCATTGTTTACTAAAACTGTAAGAGACATCAGAACTATTCATATGGCAGATGTAACTAGTCAGCAGATTACAGATTTAAGTTCAACACCAGGATTTTCTATTGCCTGTGATGAATCTTGGGATATGAATGATATTGCATAGGTTGTACTTATCTGTAGATATGTTAACTCTGACGAAACTCAGGAAGAGTTACTTGATATACTGCCACTTACAGGACAAACTTCAGGTGAGGATATAGAATCTGCTGTTACCAACTGTTTAAAAAGTAAAAATATTGATATTAATAAAATAGTATCAATTGCAACTGATGGAGCACCAAGTACCAAAGGTGAAAAGAAAGGTTTTGTTTCTATGTTTAAAAAACAAATTATGCATGACTTTTTTTCTTTTCATTGCATAAACCATAAAGAGGTACTTTGTTTGCAAACTTTTCCGAAGGAAATAACATTAGTTATGGACTGGTTGTACAAATTGTGAACAAAATAAAGGCAAGACCACTATATCATTGGCAAATTTGTGAACTTCTTAATGACGTCAATAGCCAATATTCAGATTTTTTTTTACAGAATAAAGTTAGGTGGCTTTCCAGAGGAGCAGTGCTAGTGTGATTTGCTGCTTGCATTGAAGAAATAAAATTATTTTTAAAGCAAAAAGATCTTGAATACATTGAGCTCAATAATCACGAAAGGTTACAAAAATTTTATTTTATGGTACAGTANCAATCAAAATAAATATATTGAAAAATATAAAAACAAAAAAAAAATGATACTTTAGAAGTTAATCTAGTATCAAAAACGTTTGATTCAGCACAACACAGTCTGACTGGGATGCTTTTGGTTAACCAACGTTTTGGTTGATTGGCATTCGGATAATTGATGCTCTACTGTATTCTCTTTTCTCAAACAAAAATATAAGAATAATTTTCATAAATAAATTTATCAGGAAAATTAGAAAGTCATTATCTGCACCCTAATTTTCAGTAAAGTGATTTTTTGTGTTATGGATAATACAAAAAAATTAATCAGAATAGTATTCCCCATTGTTAGCTATGACTCCAGACCAATGTTCAACCAGCTTTTAAATGCTCAGTTTGAAGAAAGATGGCTATTTGAAAGCAAACAAGTCATCCATATTACTTTTTGCAACTTCTTCATGGTCAAATATTGCCTAAACCAGATGATTTTGCAAACACTGAAAAAATGTTCACTGATGTGATGTGGCAAGACCTTGAAAATATGGTGGATGATTGAGTTTCCAACCCAGCTGCTGCAAAATGTCTTCTTACTGGTATGTGGTTTAGTGTTATCTTGATGGAACAATACTTCCTTCCTGACAAATTTCAGTAATCCTTTGCAACCAGATTATCAAGTATGTCATAGTAGCTATCACTCTCAGTTGTTTTGCCTGACAACATATAGTGATGATAAATGATACCTTGACAATCTCAGAACACACAGCAGCACCTTTTGTTGTTCAAAGCTCACTAAGACTTGGTGGATGGCTGTTTGCTGGGCAACACATAGGCATGTAGGCAACACTCAGGTAGTTGGATTGTCATAATAAATCCACTTCTCACTGCAGATCACAAGTAACCAAAGAAGTGAGTAGTTCAGATGCTGATTCAACAGTGATGTGCACTTGGAAATTCAATCACACTTGTGTTAAGTCAGGATGTGTGTGTGACACTCAATTTATGTTTGTGTATTCGATACCTCACTAGATCATCATCAATCAATCTCCTGTGGTCATCCAGGGCATGGTTTGTCTTCAGTGCTGTAGTTTCCAGACCTGAACTGAACGAACCAATTTCTGACAGTGAATTCAGATGGTCCATTGTCACCATCAACTTTTGCCATATTTTGACAGTCTGCTTCACAGAGAATCTGAGTCAATACTCATACGACCACCGATCTTTTTTTATTGATTTATATTGGCATTTTTGCAAACTTTTTTGAAATTTACAGTCTTGGAACACAATTTTATTATGTCTCTTTTGCATCACCAGTTGAAAAAAGGTGTTTTTTTAATTTCTTACCCTATCATTATCATCTACAGACATTTTTACAAATGCTTTTTGATGGCAGTGACTTTCTATTTGACCCGATATTATTATATGTTTTAAAATTACAAAGATAAATGTTACCTGCCACAAATCAAAACCAACAATGCATATTTCTTCATAGCTGTAAAGAAGCGGATCAGCAACATAATCTGGATTATCAATTTCAGGATGGATCCATGGTCCTTTATAATCAGGATTATCGATCTGTTTTGGCTTCCATTCACCTTTGTAATCTGGATTATTAATCATTGGAGGTTCCCATTCTCCATCCATCTCATCATCCCAATCTTCTGGTTTCACTGCTTCGGGGTCAAGAATATATTCTGGTTTATCCCAATCCTTGATGAAAAAAATTTATTAAAATTTATTTATTTTAAAAAGACAATTAACTTTCAGTTATATACCTCTGGCTTTTTATCTTCTGGATCATCAATCATTGGTCGATCATCCCAGTCTTTAGGTTTTGTTGCATTTGGATCTTTAATTCTTCTTGGTGGTAGAAAGTTCCAATCATTCTCCAAATCTCCACTTGCTACTTTATCGTTATCAATTTTTACAATATATGTATTATCAGGTTTCACAATTAATGTATATAAATGTGTATATTCATCATCCTAAAAATTTAAAACAAAAATTAACAAATAATGAATATGATAAAATCCTCATAAATATGGAATTTCATTCTATAAAACTGGCATGAGTACATAACATTATTATGGAATAAATTTTTAACATGGCTCTACGAAAACTAATGTTCTATGGGGTCTTTCAGGAAAAAAATGTATTTAATTTTATGTTTTGATTTTACCTGATCTATAGTTTTTATCAGATACACTTAACTATATATTTCTTTCTGTTATGCAATTTAATTCATAAACAACTAGAATAAATTTTCACCATCTTTAAATGAAGCATTTTATTTAATTAACATCTTGAAAAGATTTTTAAAAAACATATTCTACATTATCTGTGATAAATTCCTCATTTTTCTACATATTTTTCTGATGAAATTCAATTAATTCCTTAATAATATCATTTATAAACCATCAAATCCTTTAAATACTTACTTTGCATCTTATATCTTTTTCAATCAACAGATTCCTTCCTTTATAATTAAATATCACATGAACTTTCTTAGTTGATGGACCACAAATATCAGGTCCTATTATTAATAAAAATTGAAAAGAACAATTTAAGATTTATTTATTTCATTCTGCATTTTTACACACAGAAAATATTTTATAAATTTAATTTTTAATGCTTAGAAAAAAAAAACAATTTTTCCACAAATTTTATTCACCAAAATAATCTCTTACCAAACATGATGAGATATGGACTTTCTCCATGAAGATCTTTCTGATCTATACTGCAATCAAATAGTTTTAAATAACCACCACCACAATCTATATTCTGTTCGTGTTTAACCGTAAACTGTATAACTAGCACGTCGTCTTTGTTTGAGAAAGGTTCGAATTTAGCCGAGAGACCGTAGAATCGGGCGTCCTCGGACGTCTGTAAACCTATTTTAACAAAAATTTGCAGCTCATTTTTCACAAATTTAATTATTAAATTAAACAATTAATATAAATCGAAGACATACCTTTACTTTTCTCAAAATCACCATAAAATTTTCCATGAGTTAATATAAATTCACCCATTTCATTTCCTTTATGTTCAGACTGAACCCATCTTTCTTTCCAGGCTTCTGTATATTAAAAATTTATGATTAAAATACTATAAAAATAAATTGTTTTTTTAATATATTATATTATATACAGTACTATGCACAGACACACACAGTATAATGTAATTAGACATTTAACCCCTGTAAAAGTCTCTTCCTTACACAGCACATTCAGTTAGAGGAGAATCAAGTTATAGGAGAAGTAATTTTCAGAGCGTTAATTTCGGAATTAAAATAATTTCTTATTCTGAAACTTGGAAAGAATTTTTCATTGAAAAAAAAGTGAACGTTCTCTCACCTCCATCGTTAAACTTTTCGTGAAAGTAAACCTTTTCACAGTTTATATTGACAAATAAAGCAATAACAAGTATTAGAATCTTCATAATATCCTGTCGAAGTGTTTTTCTATCCATTTAAAACCTTCAGAATTCCTCTCAACACTTACACTCCTCTTCGAATGAGATCCACAGAGGCTATTGTATTCACTCAGCCAAATGTAACGCTCTGATTGGTGGAGAATAGATAGGAACGATCCAGTTATGACGCGAACAATTTTTAAATTAAGTAATCCAATAACAATCGCGTTACGAAGTTGGGAGTAACCTAATAATAAATAACGATGTCCGTAATTCGTAATTAACCCGTGACGGAGAATTTTTAATTAAAGGAAATCGTCCAATAAACGAACTTATTAGATATGACGTAATATACATATATATATATATATATATATAATATCGGAGTTAAAAAAAATTGTTCGACGCTACTTATACGCATGCGTAACAGACGGATTTTTATTAAAAAAACCAGTAACGGTTTATTGATTTATCTATAATTACAATCAAAACATTAAAAATTATTTAATTTTTAGAGTTGACGTATATTAATAAAATCCACAAATCTTATTTAATAAAGATAAATCTTATTATCGAAAATTATTCGCGATAACGATTTAAAATTATTTATTATTGGTCGGACGTTTGAATAGTTTTAAAAATTAGCCAATAACAATGCATTTATTATTAAAGTATTATTTTTAAAGAAGAAAAGAAAAGTAGCTCCGATTCGTCAATATTTTTTAAATATTTAAAAACCAACCAATAGAAATATTCTTCGTCAAAATTTGAAATATTTAAATCTATTGTTTACCTTTCCACTTTCTGACATTGTTCTCTGTTGTAACATATATTAAAAATTGGGATAAAATTATGGAAGAAGTTATACAAAACCCTTGTAAGCATCAAATAGTGAAAACTATTAGTTTAGAAAAGTTTTTGGAGGAATTTAATGAATGGAAAAAAGTATAAGCTCCTGCATCCAATTGTTAATAAATTAAATAATTTAGAACTTCCTAAAATATTTTTTAAAATTTTCAACTATAATATCATAGTAGAAATTTCAAAAACAGAATAATAATAATTATATAGAATTTAATAATTTAACAATATGTGTTTATTGTTTTCAGGCTGCCAATCTAATATTAAAAGAAAATATTATTTTAAAAGAAGAAATAAAAGCTTTAGAAAACAAATTAGATGCGGCAGAAAAAAGAGAGGATCTCAATTTAAAAGGTTAACTGAGTGCGGTGTTCTAAGAAAGTTATGCATTTTTGTGACTGGAAATCTTAAATAACAACCTAATTCAAACTAACAATTGGTCTTGTAATTTTAATCCTTAATGGTTATTAGGCAGTTACAAAATGAAGACAACTTATTAAGAGAAGTGTACTGTAGTTATAATACTGAATAATTTATTGTATTCATTGAATACAGCGATAAAGATTTCATCTATACATTTATCTTTTTATTCATAAGATGTGGCAGTTCATCCCTGTTATAGGGACTTACAGAAGTTAATATTGTTAATTTTTCACTTTTATTAACAAATTTAGTTTAATTTAATTAACACAATAAATTATTACATCACTTTATTCGATAGACATTTTTTTTCTAGTTTTTAACATATACAAAAATGTATAGTGTCTTCCAATTACTGTTTTTTTTTTCTGTTAGTACAGTATGATATATGTTCTTTTCAGTTTTAATCAGTTCTAAGAAATTAATATCAAATTTCTTTCTCAAATTACTTAATATAATACTTTTCATATATGTTTCAGAAAGTTCATAATATTGTATATTTCACAATTTTTGTTAATTAGTGTAAATTGAATAATTATAAATTTAAAATGTAATCTAAGCTACATAAAACTCTTAAGTCTTATATAAAAGATTTCTCCTCAAGTAATGTCTCTATTGGATAGTTAATATACCTTGATAAAAACACATGATCTAGGTTTATTATATGTAGAATACTGAGNAAAATTTATACAGCAAAACCAAACAACCTTCCCTTTGGCTGATTTCATCTTGAATGGATTAAGGCGATTTTGGCCTATGTTGTGTTTAAAATTAAAATATCTACTTTGCAGATAATGAGTAACAAGTCACATCTTATCTGCATATTCATTTTGAACATAATTTTTTTTTTTTATTTTGTATATTTTATGTTCAAAATGAATATGCAGATAAGATGTGACTTGTTACTCATTATCTGCAAAGTAGATATTTTAATTTTAAACACAACATAGGCCAAAATCGCCTTAATCCATTCAAGATGAAATCAGCCAAAGGGAAGGTTGTTTGGTTTTGCTGTATAAATTACCTTGCACCCTGATGGGAAAAACAATTTCTTCTGCAGATACTGTACATTAAGCTTTGAACTTGTGAAAAATTAATCCATTTCTATCAAAAACAATATATCAGATTAATTGGTTCTTTTATTATTAGTGATGCAGTATTTGTCAGTCTAGTAACATTTTTGCAATAAAAGCATTACATTTCTGATTCTCGGTGCACTTGCTAAATCCAGATTTTCCCAAGGCATCCTAAGTCAAATTTGTGAAGTAGTGAATATTTTTTTAATTAAAGAGTTAGGACATTAAGTAAAAAATAAATAAAACAAGTATTTAAGATGATAAATAGATGTAATTGAACAAATTCAATTAATTTTAGTGGGATGGATGAGCCTGTTGATCACCACACATTTTATCAAATCTTGGAATCAAACTGGACACAGTCATCCACATTGATTTTCGTGCAATGCTTAGTTTTTATCACAGCTACCAAATAAGAAGTTGCAAATGGAATTAAGATTCTCTGAGCTTTACCATTCAGAAGGGATATTCATCTTTTACTGATATCCAAAATTCAGTTGGGATTAATATGTTGTCGCAAGAAAACTCAATACGATTCTCTTCTGCAGCATTAAATGGATCTTGAATTCATACAATTTATCGATATTATCATATTGAAAATATTTCTCAAACCAGGTGATAAGCTGTGATAAATGTTCTTCAAAAATAGATTTTATACCTCGAGAGAAATCAACTCCTATTGGAGGTCAAAAACTGTTGCAACAAGGGAAAACATCCTTTCTTCTGTCTTCATTTATTTTTCTTTTCCATAGTTTTAATTTTTTTTTTTAAAGGTGCATGTTACTTCCCTGCAGGGAGAGATTCAGAGCATTCAGCTTTTCAAAAATATCACATAAATATGCTAGTTTTACCAAAAAATCTTCATCACAAAATTTTGTATGGAAAAAGATCACACGATCCAATTGGAATATAAATGGAGATATGCATGACTGTTTATTGTAAACTGTATGCTATGTCTGACCCTTCAATTGCAATATCTATGTCCAAGAAGTGGACCCTGATGGGGCTGTGTTCTTCCACCTCAAGGAACAGCCCATACAGATTGTCATTCATTGCGTTAACAAACTGCCTTAGATTCAGTGTTGTCCTCCAGAAAATAATGATATCTATGTATCTTTTGTAAAGGAGTATGTTGTGGAGGAAGTGGAGTAAGGGCCTGCTTTCCAATTGTCTGACAACCAATTCACAGAGGTCTCCAGAAACTAAACTGCCCATGGGAACTCCTCTACTCTGTGTGTATACAATCCCATTAAATTGAAATATAGAACTATAACACACCAAGTGGGCCAATTTAAGTACATGTTGGTGCATTGCTTTATCGTCCACTCTTGTAAACAGGAAATCCCTGAGAGCACAAAAATATGGATGGGTACAATGACCAAAAGTCCAACACCATAATGTACAGTACTGTACATGGGGGGCGGTGATCCCTTTGCGGTGTTCTAATAGTTCTGCTGGACTGGAGATGGCAAATTGATATTCATCCAGCTGTGGAGTAAGCAGGTTATGTGCAGCTTTCTCCAACTTACTTGTAGGAGCTCTAGCCTTGTCAACCACCAGATGTAGTTGTTGCCCTTGCTTTTGTGTCTTGGCAAAGGCAAAAAATTTTAGGGACATCAGGAGCATCCTTGACACTGCCACTCATATCTAGTTTTCTGGCCAGCTTTGTATTGGCAAAACGTTTAACTCTAGAATGCAACTTATCTATCCAGCCCTCATCTACCTCTGTACATAATACCTCAATGCGATCCAATCATATGTTTGGTGTTTCATAAGAACAAAGACTTTGGCCTTGTCTGCTCTGACCAATGTAACTCTGTTGAGATGTATCCATTTACTTGTGCACCTTATCTTTTCTGTAAGCTCCCTAAGTTCTGCTGATTCACTAGTCTTTTTAATTCTGAATGATGCCATCCATCTATAATATTGTTTTTGTCTATCAAAGGCCTAAGGGCCAGTCAACTTCAAAATATACTTCAGAGCCAGTTAAATTTAAAACTTAATGTATATTGAAAATAAACATATGTACAGTTACAATTAAAGTTCACATATAAGAATTACAAACATTAGATATTGACAAAGTTGAAGGTAATCATCCACTGCAACAGGTCCGTCGGAAAAACACCTTGCGATGTACAAATTCAAAGTCCACAACAATACAACAAGATGAGGCAATCTTCTAAAACAGCTTAGGCGAACTAAGGTCAGCGTGAGTTCACTTCCAATGTCCGAAGTAAAACTCATCTTCCCGCCAGAACTTAAATGCTTTTATAGGATTGAAACAGCATTGGATTCCACCAATCAGCATTTACCAGCTCTATAAGACGTCCGCCGATGGTCTGATGTCTTTTAACCAATGAGCGGTTGAGTTTTCAAAATGGTCTGATCGCCGTTTCTATGGCGACAACGGTCGTTCATAAAAAGGCGGGAAAACTGAGTGCCAGACGACTTTTCCATCCCGACAGGGCCTTTTTCTGATAGACAAAAAGAATATTAACAGGACATCCAAATCCAGGATGTAAGATCTTACAGCATCGTTCATGGAAGGTGGAGGAGTGAATGCTGGTCATATCTCAGGACTTACAAATACCAGGGTTTGTCAGGGAAGTCATCCCACATCACAAATGGACAATCTTGCTGTCTGCATCTCCTAAGTAGTTGAAAGCACAGAATCCACTGTAGTTTCTTGTTGTAATGCTTCTTCATGTTGCATCTCAGTCTATCTTGTATGTTGATAAGTTTGGCATTCTCAATTGCTAACATCCTCGGGTCTTGATGGAACAAAGAATTCTCAATGTCTATAAGCCTTGACAATTTAGAACAGACCAATTTCCTGGTTCATTTGATAGCTCACTTTGTTACAGAGAAGTTAATTTCCTGGCGACAGGCGAATATGAAATATTGACATGGGGAACACCCATTTCTCTTGCAAATCATTAAAAAATCTGGCCTTACTTAGGTCTATCACTACTTTATGATAAATATTCTGTAGTGATGCCGGATAGAGTTTAATTGCACAACACACTGGGATGAATATAAAAAGTGCGACTCACATTAACCAATTAACCGGTGTGAATACAAATAACATTTCATGATGAATGTTTTCGTAACCCCTTCTGGGCTCTTCTTCAGGCTTCTTTTTT